TTCGAGAACTGCACCTTACAGCATATACAACTGATCTAAACTTTAGCATATGTACATAAGATTGGGATCTCAAGGAATAAAACTGGACAATGGTAGGCACAATGCTAGCATTTCCTGAATCATGGTTGGTGGGGATACTTCCATTGCAAGAACCATCCTGAATGCGAGACCCATCAGCACAAACTACCAATAGGGGACGGCTGTTTGCAAACTTGTCACCTGATCTCTTTGCTGCCACTGGTTTTGGTAGCATTTGCATAAATGAAACAGGACCATCACTTCTTGAAACCAAGTCACAGACATTATCTGCTTCTTCAACGTCCCAAACCTGGAAACCAGACCAATAACCAAGCAGAAGAACTTGTCGAATGACATCTTCCTCACCTTCTAACTTGTCAAACCCAGCCCAATGAACCTTTACATCAAAAAAATTGACAAAGGAATATGATATTAATCACATATGCTCTATGCTCTTAATTTTAAAGTATATTTAAAAAAAAAAAAAAGCCTAAAAGTATATCTTTCATGTGGAAATCCACACCCAACTTGCGAGATATTGTTTACTTTCACTCACGATTTTATCCCAAAAAGACTCTTCGCGAGAATTGAGTTTAAGTCTCAACTTATATATCATAACAGATCTTCAAAATATCCCGATGTGAGATTGAAATGTCACAAACTCCGCCACTAAAACTTGATGTCCTCATCAAACCCAACAGAAAACACACATAGAACCATAGAATCAATATTGCACCAAATATTGGGATTTTAGAAATGGCTCCCACCTTGTAGCACTTAGCTCCCTTGAGATTCTATAGATGGCTCTCATGATGTAACACTTAGCTCTTATCCGACTGGTGACTGTTTGATACCATTAGTAGAGTCTGCATCTAATTTGTAAGATATTGTCCTCTTTTATTCGAAAGTCATTCCTCAAGTTTTGCGTTTAAGGCTCAACTTATATATCATAACAAATCCTTTTAATATCCCAATGTGGAATTTGATCAATTAATAAATTATCCTATCCTAATCTTTATATACATCAAACACAAGATAGTATGACATTATTTAAATTAATACTAATCATATATCCTATCACAATCTTATGTACCAAACAGATCTTAATTTTAAAATATATTTAAAAATGACAAACATAGAACCATATCTTCTACATGCATACTAAAATTCTCCAATTTAAAAAATAAAATAAAATTTTAACTCAAAGAAGCTTCTTTTGGTTCCTACCTGATCGTATCCTGAATCATCTTCCCTGTCCACAATCGATGATGCCACGGAAACCGCCGAGCGTGCCACAGTTGAAGCCCCTGAAGAAACGATCCTCAAGTAACTGGAAATGGCACGTAACGAAGTCCTAGCTGACCTGGAAACGACACCCCCACCTTGCGTTTTAGATTTCCCTTGTCCATCTCCACTATTCCTCATAATCCCAAACACCCAATTAAGAAAACCCACAATTAAAACTATCCAGAATATCAAATTTCTCTCTAATAATTCCCCAATTTCTCCTTCTAACATAACCTTAAAGGTTGTTCCTTTTCTCAAATTAAAAAGAAAAGCTACGTTTGTTTGAAAAAATGGAGAAATTAAGAGGAATTGATGAAAACCCAGAAAGAAACAGCCTCTTAATTGAAGAAATTTTCAGGTTACAAGTGTCTCCATTTGAAGAAAATACAAACAAACTTGAATTCAAACAAAACAAAAGAATACCGCTTTGATTTTTATACTCCTTTTTTTTTTAACACAGAATTTTATTTATTTTATAAAAATTAGAACAAATTAATTTTTTTGAAAAGGTCTTGATTGGAATTAAACAAAAAAATTAAAAAAATATATTACACAGAAAATAAAGAAAGAATTTTTTTTGGTATGGGAAATAATTCAATTTTTGTACAAATAAAATGGGAAATTAAAAAAAAGTAGAAAAAAATATTAAGATTACAAGGAAGTAGTTTTTAGGGTCTCTTGGACCTAAAATTTGTTGGGAAACGATCGGATGAAAGAGAGAAAAAGAAGAACGAAGAAATATGAAAGATTTTATAGAGAGAACAGATTGGATAATGAAGAAAATAAGTTGTATTTTTTATTTTATTTTTTTTTATTTTTTTTCTTTTGCTTTGGCGATTGGATTTCCTCTACGCCCCATTTATATTACTCTTTTGTGGCTTATTGGCCGTTTGGATTAAATTAAATAATTAGTATATTCATGACATATAAAATATTAAAATTTATTATTTATATTATATTTTATATAAAAATTATATATTATAATTAATATTAATATAAAAAAATAAAATATATTCTTTATTTTATTAAATATATATAATTATTATTAAAATTTTAAAACGTATTAATTTTATATTTTTTATTAATATGATATTTTTATGGTATATTTAGATTTTTAAATTTAAATTTATTTCACTTTTTTCTTTCTCTATATTACATTTAAAAATATGAAAATAAATTGCATTTATGTTTTAAAAAAATTATAAATTTTTATATTAATAGAACCTACTAATTGAGCCAACCAAACCCCAACCAATCCTTTATTGGTATGATAATTAGATTTAATCCTTAAAATTTTATGTGGATTAATAGACTTTCATTGAAATTTAAAGTTGTATTAATTTTTCATACATGAGTTTCATTGAGTAAAATAAATGTAAAAAATTTAATTTATAAATGACTAAAATAGTAGGCCTAGGGTAAAAGCCTAAAAGGCATGAGATTTGGTCATTCTTGCAATTTTGTGCTACAAAACAACAAAAGCAAAACAACCTTCCCAAATATGTTTCAAGCACAAAATTTGTGCCTCCAAATCATGACTTTTTGTAGGTTATGTTTGCTTTTTGATTGCTTCACCTTGATGGTCATATATGAAACTTTATGTTACCAAAACTTAAATAATAGTATTTTTTTTACATTAAAAAAAAAGTTATAACTTGAAAATAAAAATATATATATTTGAATTTTTGTTGTGTTGGATGTTACATTAAATTAGGTTCGATAATTTAAAATATAATATGAAAATGATATGAATAAAAAATACGAAAATAATACAATTTTAAATTTTAGTAAAACTATAAATAAATTTAACAAAACTAAAAAAATATATTTTATATTTTTATATTGACATAAATTATAACATGTTATTTTAATATAAAATATGATACGAATACATGAATTATCAATATTTTATATAATACATATACGAATTATCATATATATCTTTAACAATAATTTAATTAATTAATTAAATTAAAATAAAATTTTCAAACATAAATACTTTGCAATCACATTCACTAACCAAACTTTTGATGACTCAAATTGATTAAAGACAAAGAAAACCTAAATAAAGTAAAGGCCATTTTTTTTTGTGTTACGTATTTTGAATTATATTTGATGCATCGTTAACATATAAAATTTATGTATTAGCTGTAATTTTGTTAGTAATAAAAAAATATTTTATTATAAATTATTAAAATAAATATACAAAATTTTATTTTATTTTTTTTTTAAATTCTTGTTAACGAGGCCATTGTAACCAAGGATGAACTTCAGCATCTTGCTTTTCCTGTGCAAATGTGAAGTGGATTCAATGGGCCGTATAGCTGCTGGTGTCTTGCGGCCGCTCAAGCTGGAATAGTCGCTTGCCGGATGCCATAAATAAACTTAGCAACTCTGTTAAGTTTGATTTGGCAAAGTTGCTTCGTTCAGTTAAAAGAATGCATACTACTAGTCCTTTTTTACGAGTTGGAATACCTAAGAGCATGCAAATTACGGTTAAGAGTATGGTCAAACCAAATTGAATTGATACATTATTATATTTGAAATCGATTTTGATAAGATTTGAAATTTAAAAATTGATTTAAGTTCGATCAAATTTTATTTTTAATATTCAAATTTAGTTTGTAATTTAAATAAATTTATTGAGCTACACTTGATAAATTCAATTTAGTTTTGATAAAATTATAAATATTGATATTAAAATTATATTATTTATTATTATTTATATATATTAAAAAATAAAATTTTGATTAGATTTTCAAATCTTTCAAATTAAGTATTAAATTATTCGAATTTGAATATGAATAAAAAAAATTTAGACTTTTTTAAAATAAGTCTAAATAATTTATGAGTAGCATGAATATTTTACGTTCCTATTTTATGTGTCACTTGTTAAAGTAATTGAATGAATCATAAGATTAAGTGTGATTGTGTTTCCCTTCTAATTAGATTAATTTGTTATTAACTTTTAGAGGTGAAAAAAAATTCAAAAATTCAAAATTCAATCTGAAATCATAATGTTTAGTTCAATTTAAATCGAATTTTTTATTTAATTTAAATTAAATTTAAATATTAAATGTATATATTAAATTTGAATCGAATTTCAAATCAAAAAATGAAATATTAAAAAAAATAAATCAAATTGAATTATATATTTTTATTAATTTATTTGTTTTAAATTTTTATAAAATAAAAATAATTAATTTATACTTAAATCTATTTAAATATATTAAAAAGTATATAAAAATAATATATTAAAAAATCAATAAATTGAATCAAAATAATAAAATTCAATATTTCAAATTAATTCAATCAAATCATATCGTATAAAAATTTAATTTAAATTTATACCAAATTTTAAATTTTTAAAATTCTATATATTTTAAAAAAAAATCAAATAAATCTAGTTTATTCTAATTGTTACTTCTACTAACTTTTATGCCCCACTGTCAATATTATTAATATTATATAAAAGTTATTATTTTATATATCAATTATAAATTTTAATTTTTTAAGTAACAATAAAATATTATTGTATTTTAATATTTATTATATTAATTCATTAAAATTTTTAAATATACAAGAAATAAAGAAATTAAAAAATTCTATTTTATTTGGATAATTTTCCAACTAAAATATTAAGCTTCTTAAGTTAATCCATCTATCCTCCATGGATAATTTTGCAATGTCTTAATTCTTCCAGCAATCAACAATAAGACAAATAGCAGCAATTGCCATAGCCTTATCTTCAACGTTTCACCGATTAACTTTGGTTTCCACCAAATCTGCCATGGCTGCCACTCTACTTCACTTCCCTTCTCTCCCAAACCTTCTTCATCTATCAAACCTGTCGATCTGCAATTCACCAAGAACACTTCATTTCACTACCAAATGCACTTCAAACTCAAACTTAGCACCTGATCAGTCAGATTTTCCATCTCCAATCTCCCATGATACAACCATAAGTCCAGGCAGTTTCCCCATTGAAAAACGAAGAAGATCAGAGATAATCAGGGAAAGAAAACCCAGACCAGAAATTGCAAAGCCTGAACCACCAAATTTTGAGGTTGGTTGGAGGAGAACAAAGGAGATACACTTGGAGAAGCCAAAAGGGTATGTGATAATGGATTTCCTGGAGAAGTTGGAAGGGTTAATTGAGAGGGAATTTGGTTCCACTGAACTGTTGGCTAAGGCAGGGGAAATTGTTGCAGAAAGAGCAAGAGAAGAAGCAGAAGTGTTGAGAGATGAAGGGAAAGTGGAAGAGAGAATGGTGACTGAGTTGTTTAGAGTTTTGAGGCTGATGGAAATGGATTTGGCTATGGTGAAAGCTGCAGTGAAAGAAGAGACTTTGAGTGAGAGGCTTCAGCAGGCTAAGGCTCGCTGCAGGCAAGCCATTCTTGTTGCCAATTCTTTTTGAAAGGTCGCAATAAATTTCGGCAACGAGATTATTTTGTTTTCAAGTTTTGATGTATTAGCTTTGTGCCAGAAATTTGTAGATTATAATCATCTCGAAGCTGCATAATACTGTAGCTTATGGCATTGGCAATGCTTAGTGTACGTTGAGTGGATTGTAAATGATATATTAATAATCATAAATTATTTAAATTTAACTTAAATAAATTCTGAATTTGAATTCAATTTTATTATTATTGAATCAAATTTGAGATCGAATAGATTGATTTATCAATCAAATTGATTTTAAAAATTTTTATACACATTATTAATTAATTCACGAGCGTAATTAAAATTTTATATTTTAATATATTTTAATTATTTTAATTAATAAAATATTTTAAATTTTAATTCAAATATAAATAATTAAATTTTTGTTAAATATAAAATTTAAATTTATTTTTTTACGTTAATCGAATTTAATCAATCGAATTCAAAAGAATTCAATTTTTATCTTGAATTAAATTTGAATTAAAAAATTAAAATTTAATTAAACTTGAGACAAATTTCAAGCTTCTTATTTGAAATTAAACTTAAGCTCAAACTTAATTTTTATATCAATTTAAATTCGATCAATCATAATCTTATCTATATTCGAAAGATAAAGTGTATAAACAGTTCAAGTTATAAGTTATTCTAACTCAAGTGATTTAATTAAATTATAAGTGAAACTCCAACATGAAAAATAAACACGGATCCAATTCCAATCAAGTTTCTAAAGCTTCAAATTTTCAAGTCTGAACTCGAGTCTGACAATATGTCGAGCCTTAATCCACCTGTTTGATTTTGCACAAAGAGGAAAACAAATTTGAACCATTGATTCCCTTTTTTTTCATGTTTCAGCAGCAAGGATTTCATTGCTTAATTTGTTGGTAAAACCTTAACAACTATATGAACATCCATGGCAGTAATCAAGGCCATTGTTCACACAAAATGTTAATCATGAAGATTACTCTCAGACCAAAACATCGGAATGATTTCATCGCTCAAAGTTCCTACTCTATTTTGCGTTAGATTGTATTTCAAGTTTCATTCTTCTGCTGCTGCTTCTGCTTGCTCTTCTTTATCTTACTTGAGGTAGACTGAAGAAAAGCTGTTCGACATGCATCGATGACATATTGAACATGCGGATCATCTGTTGGAATTTTAGTTAGCATACTCTTTGCAGACTTGGGATCTCCTGCAGCCAAAAGGCCTTGATACATCCTGCAAGAAAACCAAACTGTTTAATCTATCAAAAAGGAGCAAATCGATATGCTGATTCAAACTTGAAACTTAGTTCAATTGATTCATATAATTACTCGAAGAATTAAAGCATCTGAAATCCCTTCTTCTATCCTCAGACAATGATCTCCTTTGTACCAAAAAAAAAAAAATGATATGCCGATTCTGAAACTGAACTGCCCATCTCTGGCGCAACCCCTAGCGCCGACAGTCCAACTTTCAGAAAACTGGAACATACAGAAGAGAGAAAAAAACGAAGAAAAGCAAGGATTACTAACCTCAAGAATGTTAAGATATTGTAAGGATAGCCAGCTGCCTGGTATTCGTTCCAAATTAAAAGAGAGTTCTGCAAATCTTTCGCGTTTACACAAGCATTAAGGAGAAAGTCAAGACATTTTCGAGAAGGGGTAAGGCCTAGTTCATCCTTTATTGCTTGAAGCAAAGACAGGCCAATCTGTAAATCTTTAGGTTCTACCTCTGCGGTCAACGAGAATACCTATTCAATCAAGAGATGGAACCAGGAAGTTGAAGGCACATGCAATCAAATTACTAATATATGATAGAATCATAGTTTAGTATAGCAAACTATTACAGTACTTCAAATAAATACAGGAGAAAATATCTGCTAATGCGCAATTTTAAAATTCATAAATCCATGGGAGATAGAAGTCGTAAAGGATTTTTTTTTTTTCCTGCTTCTAATGACAGTGTGCAACTAGCAAGAGTTTAAGCTTGTGTTTCAACCAAACAAAGATGGGCAACTGCAATACAAGCGAGAAGTCAACCCAAAATTAAGAGAGAAAGACCAGCAACAGACCTCATCCAAAATAACTTCCAAAGCCAAATCATCATTCTGGAACTTATCCTTAAGCTGCTTGAGTAAATCAACTGCAGCTCTAGATCAAACAAGGAATCAACAAAGATTAACCAAGGCAAATCCATCTATAGTAGAAATGACAATTCGTGTATTTGTATCGCATAAAACACTGATAATTCATATATTCGTGTCATGTTTTATATGAAAATTGCGTGTCACAAGTCATGTCAACATGGAAAATATGAAATACATTTTTTGGAGTTTGTTAAACCCATATATGGTTTTTGCTAAACACTTTAACCAGTGTCAATTTCATGTTTTTTTCTTTTTTTTATGTTTTAAATTGTCAAGTCTAATCTATAATACAAAAAAGAAGAAAGAAACAAAGAAGATAACAATATAAAAAGCTTGGATGGTAAGAAAACTTGGTAAATTAAACAAATGCCCCAGAAAATGAAGAATATTTTGTCATCTAACCTTAAGTGGTGATTTCTAACACAATGCAAGACCATTTTGCAACAGCCATCAACCCAATAGTCTGGATCATGTAACTCCTCCAGTAGTGGAAGTAATACACTCAACTCTCCATCAGATGGAAAATGCTCCTAAGAGATGATAGATAACATTATTGCAGTTACAGGAAAAAGAAAACGAAGGTTCAGTTGAAAACTTACAATGAGATATACAACAGCTTTAGGCTCCAGAGAACCCCCATTTTGCTTGATTTCTTTGTAAATGTTTAATGCATCAGGCACTCGCCCACTTGTTGCAAGGGCTGACACAAGCTCACTTTTGATTTCATTTAGGCTTTGAACAGGTATCCCTTTGTCTAAGAGTACCTAAAATATAAAACAGTATCTTTTGAGACCATTAGAGACAACGCAAAATGGATCTAAATGCATAAATGGTAATTGAATTATATTCCATATAATTTGGTACTTCAACAAAAGATTTATTTATACGGTACCTAAACTATGTTCTTTTTGGTTCAATGTGCTTATTTAACAGATGTGACTTTTATAGGTGCCAAGTGCTGCATGAATGCATACCTGTTTAGCCTTCTCAAATTGCCCACAAGTTGTATATGCATTTATAAGTGCCATAAAAATATGCTTTGTGGCTTGAATTCCGGTACGCTTCATTTCTTCACAGTACTACAAGCAATAACCAAATTACTTTATCACTTTCAGTGAAATTCACATGACATGATTCTTTCTCGAATGTCATCAATGTCAAACCATCAGTAGCATTAAAAGAAATATTCCAGACTTGCAGAGAACAACATAAATGAATTTATCAAGAAAAAGGGAATAGACATAACATGAAACTTTGAGTAGACTAAGAAATTGCAAACAACCTTTGTAATATCCTCTTCACAATCGCAGTTGCCAATTAGATATCTGAAAGTCTGAGAATCTGGTTTTACATCATCACGTTCCATTTGCTCAAGTACCATCAATGCACAAGTGACATTTTTCTGAAAAATTTTTAACAATATAAATATATATATATATATACACAGTCAAACCCAAAATGTATTTAAAGAGAGACAGATATAAGATTAGAGATTAGAATCAGATTAAGGCTTAAAGATTGTTTAATGTTTAAGTTAATCCCCGGAAATAAACATGGGGGAAGACACTGCAATATCATGCCGGCAAAAGCAAGATCTACGTAGAATATGAATTCATGACATTTCCCTTATCAAGTATGTCTTGCATTTATTTGCAGTTGTGCAGAAAGTATACTTTAGGTCAGAATAACAACTTTCCTGGTATCCTTTGTATGAAGGCAGAAACATCTCACTAATTGGGTCCATGGCACATCCTTAAAATGACAATGGCTTAACTATGTCGAAAATGCAAAAGAATAAATTTAAGCATATTTGTCATTCGTACTCTCTTTTCTCACTATCTTGAGACATACTGCAGTAAAAACTAAAAACAGTGTACTACTCATGCAAAGACCTAGGCCCAAGCTACAAATTTGCAATAAAGAATACAAGTTTTGGAGCTAGAAAGTAAAGGAAAAAATAAGAAATAAAATAGCACGAGCATTCAAGATGCAGAAAAAGTTACCTTTTGAAAATATCCTGCCATTATAGTATTATAAATACTAGCTGTTGGTGTCATGTTAAATTTCTTCAAGTCATTGAGCATTGCATATGCACCTTCGAACTGCATTTGGTAGAAAAGAACACACAACATATGTAATTAAGCTTAACATTGGAAAACATTGGTTTGGTACATGAAAATGTAGAAATAAAATGAAGGTAAACAATCAACAAGCAGCACATGTATGCAGACAAAGAGAGACAGCAGAGAGAGGAACTGAATGCCAACTTACATCTTTCATTTTCACACACAAACTTATCATACTCCTGAAGGTCTGACTGTTTGGCTTCAAATTATGGCGGCAAATCAGAGAATAAATCCGCCAAACCTTAAAATGAAATAAAATGAAAAAAAGGCAAAATAAATCAAATTTACAATACCAGCAAATAATCAAATAACAGGATAATCTGAATGGTAGCATGAATCAAAAATGCCCCAGGGCAATTTTTCAGAGTGAATCAAAGCCCTTTGCCTTTTATCTTAAGCAATATCAAATTCTGACAAATGAAGTCACTTAAATTTGAGACAACCTTATTCCATTTTATAGAGTAATAAGTTGTATGGATGGACCTATGACACTAAAATGTGATGCAAAATGGTGTAAAAAATATTTAAATATGTACAGTATGTGATACTTAAAGAAAACAATAAAGCACAATAGTGTTTGATATATCATACCAAATTAAACTCATAACTCTCCTTACTAGCATGCAAAATGCTATGTAGTGTCTCAATACTGAAGCTCAAACCCGCCTCACACATCTGTTCGACTATGTCAAGAGCCAAATGCACCTGCATTACAATAAATGAAACACTGATTATATAAAAGTTGACAAAATTAATGCTTTTATCTTGTTTTCAAGCCCCAAAGATTTGGCTACATAATAGGAAGTCTCATAACCCATCCCTTCAAGCTCCCCTATCTCTGGTCGTGACCTTACAAATCCCATAAGATTTTACCATCAAAAGTTTCTTCATAAAGTTGTTTGGTACTAAATGAAAGAGTCAAACCCATTAGAACAATTTAAATGACACTGTGGATCCAAAAGGATTAAAATTTGGTCTTTTTGCTCCTTTTACACCATACCTCGTGTAAATCACAGCAGTGGGTAATGAGCTTCTCATATGATGCAGATGAAGGTGTTATCTTGAATTTCATGTGCAAGCTTTTGAATTTCAGAAACAAATCCTCAACCTACAATAAAGAACAAGTGCAACGAGAAATAAAGTGAATAAGAAGCTATAAGACAAGAAAATGACCTAATTACCAACAAGAACCTTTTGAACTCCCAAAATTTTGAATTTATAATTAAAAGGACCTACTGATGACAAACATTCGGAAGCAAGATTGCTTACAATCAAGAAGCGGATCAATAGTTTTGAAAAATCTCAAAATTATCAACGACAGATAAGGGCTGAAAAATTATGCTTCTGAAAATGAACCCTATGATTCTAAAGAGAAATATCACCATTACACAGGTCAAGATGTATCTTTAATTTTTACCAGTTTATCTATCTCAAGGTTGTTTGAACAAATTTGCTGTCTAGTTAGTTTCACAGAATCAGATTCCCTACTTGAACATGACAACAATCAGGTGAAATTATATTGTCACCAACTAGACAGCAAATTGGTTTGCAAGAAAAGACATCAATAATACCGTCAGAATACTGCTGATAGAGTTTCAGGTGCCATAACAAAAATGCAAAATTAAATTTTCTGTTTTAGCAAACAAGGAAACTGCATGTGTTTAATAGAATCACGGCCTGAAGGAAATTACCAGCAGCTTTCATGAGAAGTTCCTCACCGCTAAATTAGGAATGCCGCTAGCATAACTAAAGACGAGCCTCGAGATATCATCCATCTTGCAATCTGCATTATCAAATTTACCATATTAAAATGCATACAAGACAAGATGCATACTTATGTCAAATTTGTTATCCTTCATCAGATCCTAAAGTGTTTTAAAACAACTAAATATCTGGAGTTACAGAATCCAAATCCTTCATCTTTGAAGGGGGCAGTGAGGCGACATACTTCATACATGATGGTAGAAACTAGAACTTATGCATACACCAAGCTCTCACCATGAAATTAATTCCCTTGGAAACTACTAAATTCTAAAAAGATCAAATTTATGAAAATGTAATCATTGAAAATTTGCTTTCAGAGATACTGATCAGAAAAACATTATTTGTGCAGAAAATCAGACCAGTTACCAGATTTTACCAATTACTTCAATAGACAAGATTTAGGAGCCTATTTGTTAATGGAAAAATGAGTAGATCATGAACGTACCAGAGTTTTTGAACGCCAAAAGGAACTTCTCAGCGAATGACTCTAATGAAAGCTTCCCCAATGATTGGAATACATTTGCAACTTGGTCCACAGATGAAATTCTTGTTAAATCAATAATCTCTAACAGTTGCATTAGGTCCTCCTTCCTGCCACTTTCACAAAGTGCCAACAAATAATTTTCTGCAAGAAAAAAAAAATGATACCAGCTCATTAACAGTAAAATTGTGTCCCAACCCCCAGACTGCATAAGATAAAAAGAGAGAGAGAGAGAGAGAGAGAGAAGGAGGAGAAAAGCTTACCTAGCATATAAATCAAAATTCAAATAAAAATAAGTAGAAAATAACTAAAAAAGCGATACTGACATCTAAACCTAGCTCCATACCTTTTAATTTAAAATCATCTTCCCAATCACCAGAGACAATATAGTTGCAAAGTTCTTGAATCTTTTCTTCATTATTGACTCCTACCCACAATAGCATCTCATAGTAACCTAATCTTGAATGCGAACTCAGATTCCCATCTTTGATAGGTTCACAGAAACAAAAGAACTCTTCTACCATACCCATGTCAATAAAATACATAAGTAATGGACCATAAGTTCCCTCTTCTAACTGAAATCCCTGTTCCCTCATTTTTTTAAAAGTTCTAAAAGCCTCAGAAATATGTTCGAAAGCAACCTTTTCATCATCGCTGGTCCTGGCCTTCTCCAAGCAAACTGCTATTAAAGCATTGTACTCTGTCACACCAGTTTCTCTTCCCAGTTTATCAAATACCTCCATAGTAGCTTTTGTGCCCAGTTTATCTCCACATGTCTTTATTAACTTGTTAAAATAATTAGCCTGGGATTTCTTGAAAGCCCATTTCTGTTTCCTTTCATGTGAAACTTCTTTCTGCCCAACTGATATGTTATTGTTAGACAAGTTTGAAAGCCATGGCAAGTCTAATACTCCTCCTAAAGAACTCCTATCATTGGTCATTTCTTCTGAGTCCTGTGAACTGTCTAAAGCACCAACTGCGCACGGAATAAAATACATGAACTAATCCACAATAAATGAACCAAAATCGCTTTTACTTTCCCAAATTAAAAAAAAAAAAAAAAAAAACTTTTACATTTAGTTATTTAAAAAGTTAGAAAAATGAAAACTTGAGGTTCCAATCCATGTCCTACTTAAGGAACACATTCTATTTGATATTATCTACATGCATGAACGATTTGAAATTGCATGATAATAGCAACTAACTTAAATCTCTTGCATTCTCAGAACTTGTTCAGGCAACATAGAACACAGTAAACATCTTGCTTTAGGCAAGTTATATATATATATATATATATGTATGTATGTATGTATGTATGTATGTATGTATGTATATATATTGCATTCACATAACCAATTCAAATAAAGTAGTTTCAAACAAGTAAATTTCCTTACACACGTAACATGGGAAAGCATTCTTCTTGATAGCTATCCATTTGCAAGTAAAATCTCTAATTGCATAAAAAGAACAACAAACTTGAAGTCTCTTCCATTCTCATGACTAAATCAAGTAAATTAGTTCTTTGATGAGCAACATCACACCAGGAATTTCAAATTTTCACTTTTTCTTATGCTTCTTCCACAATAATCTGAAGGAGAGAAAAACAAAAACACCAACATAATCCACATGCTATAAACAACAAATACTTACCACATAATATAGTAGATATCTCCTCTGTCCATTTCTCCATTGAATTCTCTGCATTAAACACAGTAAAATCAAGACTTCAGATTCTACACTTCAAAATGACACATTTCACTGAATTCTATAACAGACCGAAATAAAAAAAACATAAAGAACAAAACACCAGAATCTAAAACTACACTTTTCACTTAAAAACTACACATTTCAACGAATTCTCCAACACTAGAATTAAAAAGATACTTAAAAATGACAGTTCTTTTAATGCTCTAACACCCTGAATCTTAAAAACTACAATTTTCACTTAAAAACGAAAATTTTCATTAAATTATTCAATACCCAGAAACTAAAACACAAACGACAAAACCCAGAGTCCAAAAAAGCTAAAAAAGGGAAAAAGCTAAAACAAACCAGAAGTTGAAGCAGGTTCAAGCAACTGGCTGCTGAGGCTACCATCAGGGGCTGGTTTCTTGGTGGGTTCAGGTGCAATTTTTGTCAAAGAAGTGAATGATGGTGATGGTGATGAGGTGTCAAGCGAGGAAACAAACTGTATTAGAGCTTTGTCACCGGCGGTCAAGGAAGACCTTTTAGTAGCTTTTTTAACGGCGGTTTTAAAGAGAGATGAAAGGGTTTTACCTTTGGAACCTGTCATTTGATAGACCATATGAATGGTGAAAGTGAAGGTGAAGGTGAAGGTGAAGAAGCAAAGGGTTTGGGGTTTTGTTGCTGTGAGGCTGCAACTGCTCTCAGATTTTTAAAAGGCTTTTTTTTTTTTTTTTTTTTTTGGTTAGGCCTTTTGTCATTTTAATTAGGGTTTCTTTCCATTTTTCTGGCTATAATTAATATTTATTGACTATAAAATATAAGAATTTAAAAAAAAAAAAGAAATTAAAGTAACAATAAAACCGACTTTAAGAAATCATTTTGGTGTTTTGCCCAAAAATAGAAAATGCTTTTGCTGTTTTCTCTGTTGACCTGACCATGTCTCACTTGCATTGCATAGGCAGTCTTCAATGCTTTTTTTAAGGCACCATGAGAGAGAAATGGTGCAGTTCTCATGGAGATCAGTTGTTGATTGCCTTCATCTCCATCTTCAGAATTTCCGAGAGAACATAAACGACATTGCATCGGGAGTTCATGGCAGCCAGATGTTGGGGGTGGGGTGTTTCCATTCTCATCAGGTGCATTCACACAGTTTACCGTCTCAGGTAGCTCCAACAACGACACTGCTTTAATGTTTCCGATTTCATTAGCAAGAAATATGTTCCATTGCTTGTCTCGACCTTATCTGCTAGTCCATCTATCAATTCGTATATTTGTATTATATAAAAATTGGCAATTCGTATCATGTCAATATAAAAACAAATCATTTATAGTTTTTGCTAAAATTTTAACTCTATAACTTTCATTTTTTTTTTTTCATATAATTTTTGTGTCGTAATTTAAATTGACGGGTCTAGTCTAGACAGCCCCTAACTAAGCTGTTCCTTTAGTACATTTACTTCGCCATTCTCAGACAAGCGAAGCAATTGAAGTTCCATAGTTTAGTAACCACTTGACTATCTTATCGTGACCCTAGGCTACAGCATAGTTTAAGAGGATTCCTCTGATTTTCATCAAGCTCGTAGAAGAGTTGAGCTTCAAAGAGTAGTATCAGTCTATCAGATGAGATCGTCTTTTATACGGACAGTGAAAATTTTTAACTTTAGTTGCTGTTTTAAGGGGCTGCAACATGTCTCACTACTTTAAGTTAGCTATTGCCTTTTCTAGTCTGAATCAGTTCAATATGTATAGTTCTTTGTTTGAAGCAGTAATATCCACCCTTTTATCTCTTCTTTTTCAAACTTTAGTATTCCTTCCTACTCATAATAACATTTGTTTCAGTTCTTTCCATCAATCTCTCTTCAATGAATACATGCCTTAACATTTTTGCAGTTGCAGTCATAGAAAAAAGTCAACCTGTCCTGTGTGTACCAGCTGTAGCTGGGTCCCCAAAATATTAGAGAAGCACTTGTTGCGGAGCAGGTCATTGCAATGATATCTTAGATAACAAACATTTGAAGGGTTTTGCTTGAATCTAGAAGCGCCAGGCCTTGTTTGGGGACCATTCTGGTGGTAGCCACCAGACATTGTGAATGCTACTGCAGATGTAACAGTAGTGATTAGAGTTGTTATCATTAGGAGAGTTAGACACTTTTGCTTGTAAGACTGCATTTTAGCATCTTCTGCTTCATGGTTTGCTCAGTCATTTGTCCTGCTATTTTGCAAATCACCATGAGTTTTGGTTGAGTCCGTGGCTTTCAAATCAATAGCTTTTACACTCAAACCCCAACGATTGTCACCTCTAACCCTCCCTTTTCATTGAGCCAACAGAAACAAAACTCCAAACAGCAACAAAGACTAGTAGCAGGCAGGGCAACCTGCTTGAGCAAAACTGAGAAAACCAACCCAACAAACATAAACCTCAAAAAGCCCAAGGAAAAGTATAAAACCAGATCACGAATGCCGACATTAAAACACAGGTATGTGTGTCAATGTCATAAGAATAACCGACCCAGACTAGATCCAACTTTTTTTTTGGGCCGGAGCACCGGACTCAACTTCAGTGAATAAGTTCACAGATTTATAGATTTATATGGTTGTACGTAACTAAAACACAGGTTACACGTTTGTGTGTCAATATTGTTCCCCATGTTGGTCACAATTTTCTCTAAAATTGCTTGTCTTATGTAACCAATGTTTTGATTTTATATTTGAAGAAAAATATGTATGACCATTTTGGCAGGCTATGAAATAGGCATGAAATTGCTGATGAGCAACATGTGTTAAGTATGTCCACTGTCAATTGGGTCTAGTTTGGTTGAAAGAAGACTTGTTTCGGTTGAATTTCTTAGTGCTTTTTCCTCGTGCATTTTCTCAAGTATTTGTTGTTCATTTTTTCCACCACTGCTTTCTTGATAACATTTTGGTTGCATTGTGGGATTCCTAGTCTTTTCTTGCTGATGCATTGATTATGCTACTATAATGCCTATGTCTATGCACGTATCAGACTAATGGCATGGAATCCAAATTCTGCATGTGACACTAAAGAGATTGTGTGTTATGTCTTGAATGGAAAGGCAATTATATTCACGGAATAGTAAATGAAAATTCAATCCATAGATCATGTTACTTATGGCTCTATCTATTAACCTCATTTTCAAATAACTTTTTGTCAGCTTGAAAGTAAAGTGTTTTGATATCTTACAAGTAGATTATGTACAAATATTAACTGTCATTAATCTCAGCACTTGTTATGGGAAAAAGTTGCCCGCTTCGCATGCATTTGTAAATAAAATAACTTACTAGGCCTTAATCTTGCAGATGGTTCCCGTGTATCAATCTCAGGACTGATTTGGTTTTTTCATTGGACAAAGGAGGTGAAAAGAGGTTAGCAATGGGAAAAACTGGAGGCAAAAGTGCTCATTGTGCAGCTGATAAGTGGTATGAGGTAGAATATACAGAAAATGTGCTTACCAATGTAATCTCAAGGCTTCCAGTTAAGTCACTATTAGTATGCAAATCTGTTTGCAAGCAATAGCATCAGTTGATAAGTAGTCACGCTTTCACTGATTTGTGGCTACTCTGGTCAAAAAAGCACTCCATTTACATAGTTTATCCTTGCATGGATATGATCATGAAGTTATATTTGGTGAAAGACAGTGGTGAAATCACTTAAAGAATTACCTTTCCATATTGTGACAATCTTTCTACTCTGTCATCATCTGCAATCTGCATCTGTAATCTTGTTACCAGAAAGGCTCTACTACTTCCAAAACGTAGCAAATCCGAAGAAAATCCTTCTGTCGGAGTTGCTTTTCAGATTTACCAGAAAGTGTATATCTCTAGCTAAGCATCAACACCATGCTAACCGTCGCCAATGTGATGTATATTCATCAAGCACGGGATCCTGGAGTCTCATAGGTCTTGTACCTTACTGTCCTATGCATTCTAGCCATAGCCCCCTAGGGTCAAACCATGCTTTTGTCAATGGAAAATATTGGTTCATTGCTTCAGATGAAGATCACATGATCCCTGGCTCTATCCTTACAGTTGACATAGAGGAAACTTTTGGAACTAGTGACCTTCCCAAAGAGGTCACTGAAAACTCATACTTAGTTATGGAGGGAGCTTGATTTATCCAGCATTTTGAAAGGAAATTTCTGGTTGCTTTTGCATACGTAGAAAGTATTCTGTCATGTAAGTCATAAAATCATTTTTGAATGTAATTATTTTATATGATGATGGACTCACAAATCCTGGTTTGATTCCTTTTAGCAGCAGTTTGATATAGATGATTATAGTCTCCCCCATGCAATTAGCTCATTCTTTTTTTATTTTTTATCCTTTTTGTGCTCTTAAAGGTTTTGGAAGGCTTATTAGTAGAGAAAAATGCCTATAGAATGTTATAATCTCATGTAAATACATGAGAAAATTTTCGGTTTGTTGATCGATTGAGACTTATTGCTTGAGTATGTATAACCAAGGTGTATGTAGATTTCCTTGTGCTGACAAAGAAGAATCTTAGCTGAAGATTGACTTTCTTTCAGAGAATATCTTAACTTTCACTCCAAGAATTAGAGTCATTTTCATTTGGTAAAAGAAATCAAGTGACTGCTAACTGCACTGATGAATAATACAAAGAATATAGCTAGGCAATCAGTTGTTTGAGTGTGGAATTAGACTGGACGCCCATTCTTGTGTTATGAGATGTCTTCTTGCTAATTGATGAGAAACTCATGGATAGTGTAGAGTTATGTTTTGCATCAGTAGAATCTGCTAGAAGATGTCCTGACAATTATAAACTCAATACAAAAACAGGACGAAAAATGATGCGAAAATGATACAATTTAAAATTTTAGCAAAAATCATGTATGTGTTTAGCAAAAACCAAAAATGTGTTATGCGTTTGACATGCTGACACGAATTGTAATATGATAATTTTCATGTTTTACACATGTTTGACACAAATATAAGAATTGGTGGGTTAAATTTGTTGACTAATAACATTTCTAACTAGAGTAGCCGTCTCTTTTAAGAGTTTCATCCCATCCTTTGTCTTCAGCTTAGAAGGTTAAGCCAGATTCATTTTTTTCCTTGATATAATCAGAACATGATAAGATTTTAGCAGTCAAATTTGTCTTAGGCTCTGATTCTGCATTATAGGTCATATCTTTTCTTGAACTGAAAACATCTCTAGAACTATTTTTAAACCATAAATCAATGGAAGAAAAGCAGCTGTTCTTATTTCCAACTACATTGAAAGAAATAATCAATAAGATTTTGGGGAAGCAAACTCAATTATTGGCCTGTTTTTTGCATGAAAACATTTTGGGATGATTGAGTTATTCACAAGCTGATAGACCAGGAGGTGAAAATTTTTCAAAGCATTCTGCAATAAGTCCTGCAAAGCTCCTTTTCTACATTTTCTATGACTTGTTCATCTTCACAAAAGCAGGTGCTTTAAGCTACAAAAACTAGCCTTGTTTAAAGGAGGGTGAGAGATGTGTTCTCACATGAAAAATAGATGAAAAAATCATGAATTAACTAAGTTTTTTTTATTAAATGACAACGGATTTTTGGGCTTTACTCAGTACATCCCCTCCCCGAGCCGGTTTATTTCTTCTGCTAACCTTTCTATGTGTAACCTGGTGTATCAAAATTCCAATGGAATGATTCTTTTAACTTCTGCTCAATGAAAAAATAATATATATATACATAGGGAAAGAATCAATCCAGATCACAGATTCAATGTCAATCGGCAACATAGACCATTTCAAGGGATCCAAGAATGTGAATTGTCCAAAGCTCAATATCACAGAGAATTGCATGAAGGAAAAAGACAATGGAAAGATGAAAACTAAGTTCTATAGCTTAGAAAGAAAAAAACAAGTGTTTCATTTTCCAAAGGTGACAGCTTCATGACTAATTTCCAACTTGCAATTCAATAGTCTAAATTTTTTGTCTTTGTTTCTTAGGATAAAAGTTGCTGAAGAAGAAAAATTCTACTAAAATACTCGATTTGCCTTGACATTAACTAATCAAGGATTCCCAGCTAATGCAGAAATATTTCTTTTGTTAAGCGGCAAGGGGTTCTTGAGTTTTCTTGGTGTTTCTCTCCTTGGATTAGTTCAAGCTAGCTTATCTATGTTGAACTTAGCGTATTCTCCAAGTAAATTCAAATCAAGCAACAAAGAAAGGATCAAAAAAAAATTTTTTCCACTTGAGCCAATGATATGTGCTGCTTATGCATAATATTAGTTATATGATTTGCTATGTATTAACTTGATAATAAAACAAAATCATCCTTAGCCACATAACTGATTGGAATTATTGAAACCAACATTCATTCTTCTGCCAAAGAATATACCGTAAGCCGGCAGATTTAAAAACACATTAATTCATTCCATATGGCATTGGCATAAAAAGTCTAATAGAGTAGGATAATAAGACAGATTGTACTTGCAAATAGAATCTGGATAACTGTACATAGTTCAGCATATAAAAAGTAAATAAGCTTCAATTAAAATCAGAAGTTAACGGTTCATTTCTCCTGAAAGGAACAAAGGATATGGCAGCCAAAGATGGCATGTTTCAATATGCTGATGGGGTAGACAAGCTGTTGATGTTTTTGGGAACTTTAGGCAGCATTGGAGATGGATTGCAGTACCCTCTTACAATGTTTGTACTTAGCAAAGTGATCAATGAATATGGACATCCTAATAGCACATTGTCTAATGATACTGTAGATAAGGTATGTGCCATTGAAATTTTATTATTATTACCAATTGTATCATAGAGCTTTTCTAAAATATGAGTTACTTGTATTTAGATCTGTCAATTCGCATATTTAGATCATGCAGAATATTGACAATTCGTGTATTTTATATCGTGTTTTACATGAAAATTGCATGTCTCTGACAAGCAAAATACGAAATATATCTTTTTTTTTGTTAAGTCCACATATGGTTTTGCTAAAGTTTTAAATGGTGTCACATTTGTGTCTATTTTGTATCATTTTCATTTGATGTCATGTTAGTGTTTTAAATTCCCAGGTATGAAAAGCTGGTTAATGAAATGTAAATTTATGGCCTTCAGACCTGTCAAGCAGCCAATCCAAGCTAATTTCACTGATAAAATTGATTCCTATCTTTAATTTTTTATGCTGAATTGCTTTATATTCTGCAGTTTGCACTTAAGCTGCTCTATGTTGCAATTGGAGTTGGACTTTCTGCTTTTGTTGGTAAGTTCTAACTCTGACAAGATTCATATTCCATTAGACTGATAAATATTGGAAATTAATATCTGCTTTCCTTCCTTGGAATGCCAATTTATATTCACAGAAGGAATTTGTTGGACAAAAACTGCTGAGAGACAGACTTCCAGAATAAGGACAGAATACCTAAAATCAGTCCTTAGACAGGAAGTTGGTTTCTTTGACACCCAGGAAGCTGGCTCGTCCACAACATTCCAAGTTGTGTCAACCATATCTGCTGATGCCAATGCAATTCAAGTTGCAATATGTGAGAAGGTATGGATCCACTAGCATTCTTTCATTTTATCTTTTGAACACAAAACTGATTCAATGTTGAAAACTAGCATTCATCAATATGTTGTTTCTGATTGTTTTCTTTTTCCTGCTTATAGATACCTAACTGCCTTGCATTTGCTTCAACTTTCTTCTTCTGTCTCGTTGTTTCGTTCATACTATCATGGAAACTTGCCTTAGCAGCTCTTCCTTTCACACTGTTGTTCATTGTTCCTGGACTTGTATTTGGGAAGCTTATGATGGATGTGATAATGAAGATGATTGAATCCTATGGCATTGCTGGTGGGATTGTGGAACAAGCAATTTCCTCGATAAGAACTGTATATTCATATGTAGCTGAGAACCAAACACTGGATAAGTTCAGCCATGCCCTTGAAAAGACTTTGGAACTGGGAGTAAAGCAAGGTTTTGCAAAGGGCTTGATGATGGGAAGCATGGGAACCATTTATGTAGGATGGGCTTTTCAGGCATGGCTAGGTACTTATTTGGTTACTGAAAAAGGAGAAAAAGGTGGCTCAGTTTTTGTAGCTGGAATCAATGTCATAATGGGAGGATTGTGAGTTACTTTCTATATGATGGACTTGATTTTCTACTATCACGATTGATTTTTTAACTCAATATTATTTCGGCTCAACATTGCAGGAGTGTCTTAGGTGCACTACCAAATTTAACTGCCATCACTGAGGCAACTGTTGCTGCTACTAGGATTTTCGAGATGATTAACCGCGTGCCAAAGATAGATGCAGAAGATAGGAAAGGAAAGGCTTTGTCATATGTAAGAGGAGAGATTGAATTTAAGGGCATCTACTTTAGTTATCCATCAAGACCTGATGCACCAGTCTTGCAAGGTTTGAATCTTAGAATTCAAGCCGGTAAGTCTGTAGGTCTTGTTGGAGGCAGTGGTTCTGGCAAGTCCACAGCCATTGCATTGCTTCAAAGATTTTATGATCCTATTGAAGGAGAAATTTTCTTGGATGGATACAAAATAAGGAGACTTCAGCTGAAATGGTTGAGATCTCAAATGGGTCTAGTTAGTCAGGAACCTGTACTTTTTGCAACATCCATAAAAGAAAATATATTGTTTGGGAAGGAAGGAGCATCAATGGAAGATGTAATGAACGCAGCTAAGGCAGCTAATGCTCATGACTTCATTGTCAAGTTGCCAGATGGATATGAAACTCATGTAAGATAACTTCTACTCTGTCAATCAGAAACTGTTTTTCACAAATTAAACATGGCTTTCTGGCATATGATATCAATGGAGCTTGCTCTTTACATCCAAATTAATTCTTTGTAACTTTTTCACAAGTCAAAGTTGATTTTTGTTTCATAGGAGATACATCAATAATGATATATTTCATTTACTTTAGTTCTCTAAGCTGCTTTACACACATTAATAATAACATGAAAACTGTTTGGATTCTCAGGTTGGTCAATTTGGGTTCCAGATGTCTGGTGGCCAGAAGCAGCGAATTGCCATAGCCAGGGCTTTAATCAGGAACCCTAAAATCTTGCTTCTGGATGAAGCTACTAGTGCACTGGATGCACAAGCCGAAAGACTAGTGCAGGAGGCAATTGATAAGGCATCAGTAGGGAGGACAACAATCATCATTGCTCACCGCCTATCAACAATCCGAAATGCAAATTTCATTGTGGTTCTTCAAGCTGGTAGAGTAATTGAATCAGGATCCCATCATGAACTAATGCAAATGAATGTAGGAGAAGGTGGAGAATACTACCGGATGGTAGAGTTACAGGGAATGGCATTGCAAAATGAAGCTGCTGATAACTCAAACTACCAAACCGGAGGAAGAAATCACCACAAGATGCATGTTGCACAAAGCCCACTGAGTTACAGATCAAGTGCTGCAAGTACTCCAGCATTAAACCCTTTCAGTCCTGCTCTATCTGTTGGAACACCCTATTCCTACACCATCCAATATGATCCTGATGATGACAGTGTTGATGAAAACTTAAAGCAACTAGCTTATCCTGCTCCATCCCAGTGGCGTCTGTTGAAAATGAATGCACCTGAGTGGGGAAGAGCCTTGATTGGAAGTGTGGCTGCAATTGGCTCAGGAGCAGTTCAGCCTATAAATGCATATTGTGTAGGCTTACTTATATCAATTTACTTCCGCACGGACAAATCCGAAATCAAGTCAAAATCCAGAACTTTGTCATTCATTTTCTTAGGCATAGGTGCTCTCAACTTCATATCCAGTCTCCTCCAACACTACAACTTTGCTGTCATGGGAGAGAAGTTGACAAAAAGGATACGAGAAAAGTTTCTTGAGAAGTTGATGACTTTTGAGATTAGTTGGTTCGATGAAGAAGAGAATACAAGTGCAGCCATTTGCACAAGATTGGCTACTGAAGCCAACATGGTTCGTTCCTTTGTTGGGGATCGAATGTCATTGCTGATTCAAGCAATTTTTGGGTCTATTTTTGCTTATGTAGTAGCACTTAAACTTAGTTGGAGACTATCACTTGTGATGATTGCAGTTCAACCAATAGTTGTTGGGAGCTTTTATTCAAGGAGCATCTTGATGAAAAGTATGGCTGGAAAGGCCCAAAGAGCACAAAAGGAAGGAAGCCAACTAGCAAGTGAAGCTGTGGTGAACCACAGAACTATTACAGCCTTTTCTTCTCAGAAAAGAGTGTTGGGGCTTTTCAAGGACACCATAAAGGGCCCCAAGGAGGAAAGTGTCAGGCACTCATGGCTGTCAGGTTTAGGCCTGTTTAGCTCTCAATTTTTCAACACAGCTTTTTCAGCATTAGCTTACTGGTATGGTGGGAGATTATTGACACAAGGGTTAATATCATCAGAGCACCTTTTCCAAGCATTCTTGGTATTACTATTTACTGCTTATGTCATTGCAGAAGCCGGTAGCATGACTAATGATTTATCTAAAGGAAGCAGTGCCATTCGATCAGTTTTTGCAATCCTAGACAGGAAAAGTGAGATTGATCCTTATATTACAGGGGGGATAGAGATCAAAAAGGCGATTAAGGGACGGATAGAGCTGAAAAACGTGTTCTTTGCATATCCAACCAGACCTAACCAATTGATCTTTAAGGGTCTGAACCTTAAAATTGAAGCAGGGAGGACAGTGGTACTAGTGGGACAAAGTGGTTCAGGAAAATCTACTATTATCGGGCTCATTGAGAGGTTTTACGATCCAATGAAGGGATTAGTATCCATAGATGGACAGGATATAAAGAATTATAATTTGAGAATGCTTCGAGCACATATTGCACTTGTCAGTCAGGAGCCAACCCTTTTTGCAGGGACTATCCGCGAAAACATTACCTATGGGAAAGAGAATGCTAAAGAATCTGAGATAAGAAAGGCTGCAAAGCTTGCCAATGCTCATGAATTTATAAGGTATGTGAACTGCATTGAATCGAACATTAGTTCTTCTATTATAGTTCTGTTTGATATACAAAACTAGAAGAAGTAGATGCATTCCTATTGCCATCTGGCAGAAGTAGGCACCGTGGGATTAGCCTGCTAATTAACAAAGGATTAGCTGAAGATTAGCTTGTCTAACAAGGGTTCCTATGAAAAACACTAAATCACCCTTAAGAATGCCTAATAAAGAACTGGAAACTAATGGATAGTTAGCTCAAGTGGCATAAAGAGTGTGCTATTCCCTTTATTCCCTGAGTTCTATTCGGTTGAGAGGTTGTGAGAAAGTAATTTATCATGAATTAGTTAGATCTGACGTAGATAAGTATGCTTGGACCGGCCGGAGAGGATTGTCTTGAGCAAAGTCCTAGAATCCCTCGCCAATAAAAATCAATTACTGAAGTTAATATTGCATCATCCGATAATTTACAAAATGCTACTGCAAACATCATGTCATGAATTATCTGATTCATCAATCTCCTGGATAATGAAGCCTCTTAGATATATGATAGAACCAGAAATAGACTTCCATGTTTGTTCCTTTCAGCAGCCAATGAACAACCCATTTTTGTATTGCAATTTGCAGTGGGATGAAAGATGGATATGACACAAATTGTGGAGAAAGAGGTGTTCAGCTATCGGGGGGTCAGAAACAAAGGATTGCATTGGCACGAGCAATACTGAAGAACCCTTCAATTCTGCTCCTGGATGAGGCCACCAGTGCATTAGATAGTGTGTCAGAGAGCTTGATTCAAGAAGCACTTGAGAAGATGATGATCAAAAGAACATGTGTCATCGTTGCTCACAGACTATCAACAATACAAAAATCTGATGCCATTGCTGTTATCAAGAATGGAACAGTTGTGGAACAAGGTTCACACAATGAACTAGTTTCCATGGGTCGTGGTGGAGCATATTATTCACTGATAAAACTTCAGGGTCAAAATTCTTCTTATCGGTAAACCTGAAGTTAGGATCAATCATATACAATTTTGTAAATATGAACAAGGTGATTGGTTTGCACTGAGATGTAGACATTTATGCTTTCAATGATAAATTCAGCGCATTCATATCATCAAATGATCGAGGCTTAAGTAATAAAGAGATTGTACTCTTGTTTGTGTTTAAATCTGTTGGAACATCGTGAAAAAATGATTTTTCATGAATTTATTAAATTTTATATAGATAAATTTATTTAATTAGTCAAGAAAAAAGATATAATCGAGAATAAAAAATAATTTTAAATTTTAAATGACAATCTCTTTTATATCAAAATCAAATTATATTGTAAATATTGTTAATAAATTATAAATAATGTTAATAAGTGATAATTATCGTACTAAAACTCAAAAATTAGATTTGGATTCTACCGTATTTTTAATGCGATGCAATTGAGTTCATCATATTATTAATTAAATTCAAATATCAATTCTAATGAGATTTATTTAACACAAATTTTTCATTAAAAAAATTTGTTTAATAGCAATTCTTATAATATTTTTTTAATTATAATTATAGTAATTTTTATTATTATTTTTAATCTTATCAAAATTAATTTAACTATTAATTTAAATGAAATCTAAGTAAAACTTGCCATTGCCTAAATACTTTTTTTTTTTAAATCAAATCAATTGTATTTCTCAACCCAACAATGCCTTTTTTATTTTATGGTAAATATGAACAAACAAAATCTATAATACAGGCTTCCCAAAGTTTGAGTGCGTCAGTACAGTTTACATGGGACTCAATTATTTTAAGTTAATAACATATTTTATCATTAAAAAAATAATAATTTAAGTCTCTCTACGATCCCTCAGTAATGGGCCCATTAAAGCTGACGACGTTTGGACGTCAAAAGTCAATGGCGCTCACGCCTTACAAAAGATGAGCTTCCCACGTCAGAAGTTTGAATGCGTGAGTGTAATTTATAAACTGATTAATTAGAGCTGGGACCATATATTTAAATAGCGATTTCGATTATATTTTTTATCATATTATATTTATTATATTTTTAGATATAATAAAAATTATTACGATCATCAAAGTTATTACGATCATAAATTTTTTAAAATTTTATATAATTTATTATAAAATATAATAATTATAATTATAATCATAAAAACTTTTATTAAATAATTTTTAAAATAATTTATCATATTATATTTTTTATTTTTTAAAAAAATTTATTTATAATTTTAATTAAATTATAATAAAATATTCATATTTGGTTTAACAATAAAATTTTTACTTGAGCTAAGTTCATAATCAATGCTAATTCTAGACAAATCAAGATATTAACAAAACATAATATATTAAATACCAAGTATCTATATTTAATAAAATTACAAATTTAAAAATATAATAATTTCAAATTCTATCAACTATAACTATTAATATATATTTTTTAAAATTTACCATATGATATAATGACAAGGATGATCAAATTCTCTATTTTCATTTTAAGAGTCAAGTTAACTCCATCTCCATTCTTGTTGCCTTTGTTCTTAATGCATTTGAGGTGGAAGATATATTTAAGGATGATAAATTTTGTAATGGGGGATATATTTTGTGGTAGATGATACATTTGAAGTGGATGATACATTTGTGGTGAATAATAACTATATAAAGGTGGATAACCATAAAGAGGTTAAAAATTAGGTTATTCCGATAGATAGTAACTTTCTTGAGTACTAGCAGATATAATTTACTATACTCAAAGTTACTAGAATTTGATCTCCTACCTGAATATGAAGAACCTCTAGAAATATCATAGTGATACTTCTTGGCTTTTTCTTTTGATCGAGTTGTATGTGCACTTTGAGCCCCACTAGATTTAGCAGATGGATTTACTCCATATTCTGTCATATTAATAAAAAGTCCACCAGTAGCAACAAGGCTAAATTCTCTTTCAAGTGGGTTATAAGGTTGATTTGTATCCATATTATCACCAAAATTTACATCATTACCATCACCATCACCATCATCTGGACTTAAACCCCACCATTATCACTCAAATTTGGTGTTAGACTTGAACTTGAATGAGACACATTCCTTTCTTGAGATTGGTATGATCGTTCAATATTCATTTTATTATTAGAATTATCTGCAAGCAACCAATTAGAGTTTTGACTATATAACAGAGGATTTTCTTTCTCTTGTAGCCATTTTATTAGTAGATTATCATCTTCAAAAATATAATCAAGGCTAATAGGATTAAAACTATTATTTATCTCATCAATGCTCATTCTTTTTTTATATCTCATCTTCAACTTCATGTTGTAATAGGTATATACAAGTTTTTGTAGTTTTTCAAACTTCAATCTGTTTCTTGCCTTGGTGTGAATATAGCTAAATGTGCTCCAGTTACATTCACAATTTGTTGTAGATGTTGTTTGACTAAGCACTTTGATTGCTAGTTTTTGTAATTCAGGAATATAAGTGCCATATATCATCCATCATTCAGTTGTATAAAATTATTTAAATTAAATTTGAATGTACTATTTAATTAAATAATATAAATAAATTATAATTATTTAATTTACTAATTACCTGGATTCATTTGCTTCTAAGCTTTTTGTGCCTATGGAATACCAAATGCTTCATGCTTGTCTCGAAATAATAGCAACTACATCAATTGAAAATACAATAATAAATAAATAATAATTCTATTTTTAATACATAAAATAAATGTCAAAGTTATAAAATAGTATTAAATACTAATCTGATTAATCATTCTGATTTGAGTATTTATATAAGGTTCTAATCTTTCAATAATTGCTCTTGTACCATCTAATGTTTCTTTAAGTACATTTTCATAATGCTTCACTCCAAATTGAAATTGTGGATTTAGATAGTAACTTGCCAATAATTGATAACAATGTTATATTAAAGTAATAAAAAATAAATATATATAAGCAATTTAAGCATAAAAAATAAACATATTTTTTTAAATACAATATATATTTTTGGTTTACTTATCAGCTGAATGTAAGTCATAATACATGAAACTCTATCTATTATTAATAATCTTTTCATATTCAGCAGAATAACGATGATTTTGCTAAATTACTTGTTTAGCTCTATCCATCGCTTCATAAATAAATCATATTATTAGTTTTTCATCACCATAAACAAGGCGTAACACTTTTATCAAAGGCTCATAAACTTTTATTATATCACTTGCTTTTTTCTAAAAATCTTTTCCCAAAATGATTTTTTTGGCTTCATAAGCAGGCTTTGATTTTTGTTGTCACCATTTTGATTCTTTAAATTCTTATATATTCAATAACAAATTTTTAGAGTAATATATTTTAAATTAATATTTTAAACAATGATATCATAAAAAGATGCTAGATTTAAATAGTTATACTAATTACTAAGTACTAACATTTGAATTGAACATCTTTCTCAAACTTTGCTTTTGCCTTATTATTTCTTCTAACCGTATGAAATGAGTGGCAAATTGAGTAAGAGTAAGATGAAGTATTTGTTTCCCTTATGTATATTTTTTCATCAAATTAATAGTCTAAATGTGATTGTATATAAAACAAGTAATTTTTTTTGCGTCATCCAAGACCTTTGCCACATTTTTTTCTTGCCAATATCCTCAAGGCACAAATCCAAACAATGAGCTAAACATGCTATCCAATACAAATGCTGTCTTTTCTCCATTAGTCTTTTTCCTGCAACTTTAAATGCTGCCTCATTATCAGTGACTATTTGAATAATGTATTTTTCTTCAATTTCTTCCATAACTTCATCCAATAATTTATAATAGAAGTTTGCATCTCTATTACGAACATTTGAAACATCTATAGATTTTAAAAAAATGGTCTCTTAACTACAGTAAACAAGAAAATTAATGATATGCCTTTAATTCAAAATGTTGGTCCAACCATCACACATCAAAGTGGCACCTAATTCATTCCAATGAGCTTTTAATCCATTAACACATTCATGAATTCATTGATACTCGGACTTTAAATGCACATTTGAGACTTTATAAGGTATTGAAAGTTTCACATATTGGCTAATTTCTCTTGCCGTAAAAATCAAATTATGCAATCATTGAGAGTGTGCTAATTGAAAAGGAAGTCAATCATATATAAAAATTTTGATATTGATTCACCCATATTCCTTTTTAGTGTTTTTAAAAATGAATCACTTATTTTGGTTACTTTTAACTCTTACTTCTAACTAATTCAGATATAACCCCTCTTAATAAAAATTCAGACTCACTTGGAATTGATTTTCTTATTTTTTCCTTAAAATATTCAACAACTGAGCCATGAGAACTTTGTCCCTCTTCATGTATGTTACTCTAACCACTAGTTCTTTGTCTGAATTCTTATCCTTTGTGCCACTCATATTGTGATTGGATACTATCTCGCATAGCTTGTGTAGTAACGATATCTTTATCAACAAAACCTTCATAGTCACAATTTTTCCTTCTTAATTGTGATAAGAATTCATATTTTCTTCTTTTGTTCTCAACTTTCTTTGATTTGCTTTTTTGAAGAAGTTTCATCATACTTTCTCTTACTAAACCTATTAATACTATAGTTAAGAAAAAAGAAAAAATTAGTTGTACATGTTTATATAATTTTGTAATTTTTATTGAGAAATTAACAATAATATTTTCAAAGAAATTATAAAAACATAACATACCAGTAATATTGGGGCATGATGCAACATTACCAGTTTTATAAGCAATGTATTTTTTAAAACGTGTTATTTCTCCTTTTACAACTTTACCACAAAGTTTGCATAAAATATTTTATTTTATATTTGGCATAGGTGTTCCAAAATGTCAACCTATATCATCACTTGGTGTGCTTTCTACTCCTTTGCTTGGGAATTCTTCATATTGTGGCATACTTACTATTTTGTATAAAAATAAAATAAACTTATATTTAGAAATTTAATGTTTTTAATTTAGAATTTTTTTTATTTGTTAGTTTTTAATATTAATGTTAAAAAATTTAGTTAAAATTAAAAAAATTTAATCTTAAAAATAATATATCGTAAAACATTAAATTTATTAAGTAATTTGATCTTTTTGATATAATAATTAATGTAAAATTTTTTTATTAGATATAATATAATATTAAAAATTAAAAAATTTAATCTTAAAAGTAATAGATCGTAAAACATTAATATTAAAAATTAGAAATTAAAAAATTTAATCTTAAAAATAATATATTGTAAAACACTAAATTTATTAAGCAATTTAATCTTTTTGATATAATAATTGATGTAAAAAAAAATCTTATCACAACTTTCAATATATTATATGATAAATAGAATATTCAATAATTACAAAAAAATAAAAATAAATTAATAAGAATTAATTTAATAGCAAAAGAATTAACAACAATATAAATACTAAAACAACAAAAAATTATTAAATTTTAAATATAAAATTATAAATCAATAAATAACAAAATCAAAATATAATATTTAATTTTAATTATTTTTTATCTAACTTATACAAAAAAACTTATTAAAAATTTTCATCTAAAATCCCTATATATTTCATATTAGATTATTAATCTCTTAATTTTTTCAATTATAAAATCTCAATCCATCTAACTAAATTTTATCTAAAAAAATTTTAAAAATTACAAAATTTTAAATTTAAATTTTAATAAAATTAATTATAAAATTAAATAAAAAACACCAACCCCACCTTATCCTCAATGCCCTTCACCCCTCTACCCTACCCCTCAAGCATCTCACCCTACTAAATCCCAACCCACCCCTCACCCTACCCCCAAGCATCCCACCCCACCCAATCTCACATCCCACCCTACCCCCCACCCATCACCCCATTCTAAGATGAGAAATTAAAAACCCCTCTCCGATTCTCTTTTAACCCTCAAAATTTTCTCTACTCTTTTTCAAGTTTTGATGGCATCGACGATCAATCTCTCAAATCAACTTAATCAATTCCTTATTTTTTTTGCATCTCTCTCTCTCACATACCTTTATCTCTCTCACTCATATTAGATTATCACAAATACAAAGATAATATTATTCTATAAAAATTTTACAAACAAAATAGGTAATTTAATTTTTTTTTACCTTTTTTATTTTGATTATTAATTGAGGATTTGAAGCTAATTTGAATTTGGGTAGTTACCTATTGAATGGCTAATAGTTGATACTGTTTTCTAAGATTTTTTAGACGAATTTTGAAAACTGAGAAAAGAGATAATAAGACTGAGTTATGAAATTGATTCTTTTCTTTGGCTTTTGTCTTTATTTTTGTTTTTATAGTCTTTTTATTTTATTTTGATTTTTGAGAATCTTGATGTTCACTGTTGAAACTTAAAAGCTTTTTTTTTATTATTATAATTTGTGCCGAGTGTTGATGAAAAAAATGATATAACAGTAATAACAAACCGTTATTATCGCTATTTTTCATTATGCCATTTTTTAGCGACCGTTACACATTATTTTGAGTGTAATTAAATTTCTTAACCATTTTTTTTATAACGGTGGCGAGTGGTGATGTTACCGTGATTTCGCTACCGCTATTCCTCTATAGCACTGTTATTTAAATCCCTGGCTTAGACACCAATCTTATTACTAAACAGAAAAAATTAATGATATGGTGAAAAGGAAATGTTTTTCAATAAAAAGAAGAAAAATTGTTTACATACAAAATTCATCTAAAATCAAATTTAATTAAATAAATGGTAACAAATACAATAAGGCATGAAAGAAATTAATTCAGCTTAAATTTCATTTTTTACGTCACCCACAAGGCCAATCAAGGAAGCGCGTTGTCGTACTCGCTGTAAAGGAGCGTGAGTGGAGAGCACTCATCTGTTTATAATCTATATAACACGTGTTCTCATTGCATTGGTTAAAATCAAGCCCTTTTCCGTCATTTGATGTGTAAAAAGAAGATCGAGGCCGGGCGAGTTCGATCTCAAATTCAAAATCTTCAATCGATCAAAGCCCTCGTCAAAAATCCCCTTTCAAGGTAAATCAAATTTTCTTTGTTATTTTTTATTATTTTCAGTTTTTTTATTTTATTTTGATTCTATTTGATTTAATTATGAATTTTTTATCCATCTGTTGAAACCCTAGCCTGTTCCGAATCGATCACCACTTCCCTTCCGCCACTGTTCCTTCCGCCAATTTCAGGTAAGATCGCCGCCTAAGTTTCAGACAATTGTACTCATATTTGGCATAGATCTCATTCAGTTTCTTAATAAGCAAGGGTTAGTCACCGCTGTATATCCTCAGCACCGTCTGAGATTAAGTTTCTAGTCTGGAATAGAAAACCAATAGATATGATCAGTTCCTTGTATACCTTGCAATTCGTGTATTCTTGTTGTGTAAAATATTCATAAATCGTGTGTTTGTGTCCACACGAAAACATGATATACATTGTTTTTGGGTTTATCGAACCCGTATATGGTTTTTGCTAGAATTTTAAATCGTGTCATTTTTCTGCCTTTTTTTCTGTATCGTTTTCGTGTTGTGTTTTAGATTGCTAGGTCTAGTTCTTTGTATATGTAATGGAAATCTAGGACTAAAACCTTAAGACGTGAAAAATCTTCGATGAACATGTCACAAACCTCTGGAATAAGACCAAGAACACCAGAGGCAAAGAGAAGATTATTGGGCTTGATGGCCTGAGAATATGGTCCTAATGCTGCTGGAGCTTTGTCAGTTGCCATAGCCTCCTTTATCCCTACAATCAAGACATAATCACAAACCCATGTTATCAAATGAATGCAAGGTCCATAAGAAAGAAAAGAAGAAATGTGATAATGAAACAAAGATTTTTACCAAGTCATAAACTGTGATCAATTTAGTTACAGCATTATCTTAAACTTACCTGATGAGACAAGAGTTCATCATTAGTGTTGTAGTTCCTTGGATTTTGTTCTGATTTTTGCTTGATTACTTTATTGTGTTGTAGTTCAATTCTTTACCCCACCAAATTGCTTTTTGTGCCATGTTTTTCTCCTAAGTTCTACCTGAAAACCTAAAACATAGTAGCATGTGCATGTCACGTTGTTGCTGGTTTCATGCGCGTGACTTCCATAGATGATGATAGCGTCGTATCTTTTCCCCCCAAAACCCTCCTTAGTCTGTTCCCTCACGCCTAATTTCTACTTGACTTAAACATGGGCTGACGTTAGGGTTGTGATGAAGGCAGTGCATGAGATCTGTTTATCACTAAAATTTGCTTTTATTCTTTTGTCTACGTATTTTCAAACATTTATTGCATTGGTGTTTTCTTATAAGTTCTGTTTGGATTAAGAAATTAAAAATGAAAATTTAAGGCTGAAAATCTCCTTTTTTTCTTGAATGTTTGGATATTTATTGAAAACCCCATCCTTGCATTTTGATTCTGAAACTGAGTAATTCACAGATAAAGGAAATGCCTTCACAGAAGATTGAAACTGGCCATCAGGACACGGTTCATGATGTGGCTATGGATTATTATGGTAAGCGTATTGCGACTGCCTCATCGGACAGCACAATTAAGATAGTTGGGGTGAGCAACAATACACATCAGCATTTAGCGACTCTGACGGGTCACCTAGGACCAGTATGGCAGGTGGCTTGGGCTCACCCAAAGTTTGGCTCCTTACTTGCTTCATGTTGTTATGATGGGCGTGTGATTATATGGAAGGAAGGCAATCAGAATGAATGGGGTCAGGCTCATGTTTTTGAAGACCATAAGTCATCTGTTAATTCGATTGCTTGGGCTCCTCATGAAGTGGGACTTTGTTTGGCATGTGGTTCTTCTGATGGAAATATATCAGTTTTCACTGCAAGGGCAGATGGAGGCTGGGACACATCAAGGATTGATCAGGCTCACCCGGTTGGTGTAACTTCTGTTTCATGGGCTCCATCAACAGCACCCGGTGCTCTTGTTGGTTCTGGCTTGCTGGACCCTGTCCAGAAACTTTGCTCTGGTGGATGTGATAACACTGTAAAGGTGTGGAAGCTCTACAATGGAACCTGGAAGATGGACTGCTTTCCAGCTCTTCAAATGCATACTGATTGGGTACGAGATGTTTCTTGGGCGCCCAATTTGGGGCTACCGAAATCTACCATCGCAAGTGCATCACAGGATGGGAAAGTAATTATATGGACAGTGGCCAAGGAAGGGGATCAGTGGGAAGGCAAAGTATTGCATGATTTTAGCACCCCTGTCTGGAGGGTGTCATGGTCATTGACAGGAAACATATTGGCTGTCGCTGATGGGAACAACAATGTGACATTGTGGAAAGAAGCTGTAGATGGGGAGTGGCAACAGGTGACTGTTGTTGAGCCATAGCACTCATCATTTTGGCCATGTTTTAGAACCTATTTAGTTACGTGTATGTGAACTATAAGGTTTAATATTTTTATGCAGCTGCATAGTTGAATCATTGTGTTGGATATTCTAGAACTCAAATTTTGAGCTTGAAATTGTGTCTCGAGTCCTTGCTGATTATGGAAGTTGATGTACTTTGCAGACCATGTTCTTTTTAATACGAGAAATTAGGAACTAGCTTCTTCTTATAAGTTATGATGGGATTCACAGTGTGCCTCAAAAGTGAGATGTTGGCTTAAATAAATGTTCTAAGCATAGAGATCTAAACATGACAATGTAAAACACAATGTGATAACACGAAATGAATACTATATAAAAATAGAACATTAAAATAACTCGGTTTAAAATTTTACTAATAATTACATGAATTTAATAAAATTAAAAATATATATTTTATGTTTTTGTGGTTATATAATGATGGTATATTACTTGCCACATTTAATGAAAATATTATTATAAATAAAATATTAAATAACATTAAAAAGTTAGCAAAATTCAATAGCATAAACCAAAATTTGACAAATAACAAACTATTAAATAGAGTAGATAAGGTTGTTTAAGTAGTTTAAAAACTCCAGCATAAATAGGTAATAACATGTTAGCTTTATAGGTGAGATGATAATTTAAGAGGAATGAATTAGATCTCTTTAAATTCTTTTTAAACAATAATTTCAATATAGTTAAATAAAAATTAAAACAATAAGTAACTTTGATGAAAATATAATGCAAACAATAGTAATTAATGAACTTAAAATCAAATATAAATAACAATAAACTGTAAGGAGATAGGGATAGAGAAATCAAATGTAATTATTTATAAATGTTCGATTTTTCTCCACAAAACACCTAGGTCCTCTCTCTTGGTTGTCCACACTAAGGCTTCAATCCATTAATTGAAGAAAAATTCTTACAAGATACAAACCTATATTGTACTAAATTTTTATCTTTTTCTCAAGGCTTAGATAGCAACATCTACCCTTACAAATCAAGAGGATACCTCACCTCTTGCTTACAAGATAACCAAATAATTTTTACAAACTAAAATACCTCTCAAAGTTGAGTGTTTGCCTAATGAAGTATAAAAAAAAATGATGCATGAAAACACAACAATATTTTGGATACAAGAAAAACAAAAGATATTGAATTTAAGCTCTAAAAATCTTGATTCTAAGAGAAAATAAAAATATAGCTTGTTGGCTCTTACTCTCTTGATTCATCAATTTTCTTGGTGTGTTAAAGTGCCCAATTTATGGAGAAAATAAAGAACTAGCCGTTGGGGAGGCTTGGAGTGAAGAAATGCCCGTTGAAAGCACGAAAAAATAGTCGTTGGAGAGTTTCTGCCCAGACCCAATCGATCCCTTTCATGAGGGGATCGATTGGTTTATGTTTTGAATTAATTTGCCTTTGTAAATCATGACTTGATCGATCCTTTCTTTGAGGGGATCGATTGGTTCAGTTAGGGGATCAATACTGTACCCAAGGGATCGATCTTATCAAATTGGGTGGTTGTTTTCTGTTTTGTACTTTATTTACTAATTTGATCATAATTTGAGTTATACAAATCCAAATCACAAACCGTTTGAAGATTTAGAAACTAGACTTAAAAGGCCTTTCCATCCATATAAAGTTCATTATCTAATTCATTGAGTACGAATTATAGTGAATTTTTAAAGTTACCTCTTGTGTAATTTTTTTGACAACTGTAGAGTGTCTAGTAAAAATTCAAAATCTTTTTTTAGAAAATTTGAATTTTGATTTTGTTTAATCTATTAGAAAGTAGACTCAAAGAGCTTTCCAACCATATAAAATTCAAATATTAAAACTTTATGAATTAATAAAGAAAAATAAAATAAATTCAATGTTAGAAAACTTTGTTATTGTAAAACAACTTTCTTAAGTTAATCTATTTCTTAAAATCAATATTTTCAAAATTGTATTAATTCCAAAATGAATAAGTTTACTTTGAAAACAATAATTGAACTTTCATTTAAGCTCAAATAAATAATCTTTAAAGGTATATTTGGTTTGAGAAATGTGAAAACAAAGAAAAGTTTGTTTAAGCTTTGAAAATCATATTATTTATTTAGTATCAAAATATAAAACTTAAGAACATGTACTAAATAAATCTTTTTCAAAATCTTGATCAAGCTTATTTAGTTTAATGTTTTGTTATTTCAAAATAAGGATCAATTCAAAGCTAACATAACAAATTGATGAAAATTAAAAAGATAATTACAAGAAGTTATTTTTTTAATACTCATCAATTTGTCATAATTTTATTTTTATTATTAGTATTTTTAATAGATTTGGCTAGGGTTGGGAATTCAACCCGGCTTAGTTTTTCTTTTTATAAATTGGGTTTTATGTCAAGTTAGGCTTTTTTTTTTTAAGTTAGAATTAAATTTCAAGTAAATTTATCTTTATATGACCCGATACATATATAATAATTTTTATTATTTATTTAATTTTATATTTATATTTAAAAAGTAATATTTGTTATTTTTAGGTATAATCAATTGTGGTTTTAAGCATATGTAAGTCAGGTGAAGTTGAATCGGATATAAAAATTAATATTTTAATATTAGATCAGGTTAAGTTCAGATATTTATTATATAAAATTAAGTTGAGTTCGGAGTGAGTAAAAACTCATTCGATTCGACTCGTTATTATTTCTAGATTTGACGATTAATGTATTCATATTGTGTAAAATATTAAAATTTGTGTATTCATATCATATTTTACACAAAAATTAGGTTCTCATTTGAATTTCACCATGCGATTAAGCTCATCGCACCACTAGTTGAATCCAAATGCTAACTCCAAGTAAATCAAGTTAGCATAAATTTCTCATTAATTTTTTTTTTCAATCACAACTACAATAATTTTTTTTTCAATCCCAACTGTAATAATTTTTATTACTATTTTCAATCTCACTGCAATCAATCTCACCATCCATCCAAATAGAGTTTAATATCACAATTCATGTCAACATGAAAGTATAAATTTTTTTTTTAATTTTTTTAAGCCTATATGTAGTTATAGCTAAAATTTTAAATCGTATTACTTTTATTTTTTATTCGTACTATATTCGTATTTTGTTACTGTATTATATTTTAGATTGTTATATTTAATTTTTAAAGAGATAAAACCAAAAGAATAATTTAAAATATTAACTTCTAGAATCACATTTCAAGGTAATAAAAAATTCACATTTCGATATTTTGTTACTCTATTCGATCAATGAGTTTTTAACTAATGTGATGCATAGGGTTGTAAATGATACATTAGTACTTGCAAGCTACTCGGGTTCGATTCGAAAAAAACTCGAATTCGGTTCGATTATTGTCGAGTCGAGCTCGAGTAGCTCGACTTATTGATCAAGCTGAATTCAAGTATTCTTATATCTGACTCGAGTAGCTCGCGAGCCTAATCGAGCTTTTATATTTAAATATATTTTTATTATTTTAATTAATAAAATATTTCGAGTCCGAGTTCGAGTTCGAGCATGAATAATCAAACTCTTATCGAGTATACGAATCGAGCTTATTTTTACATATTAATCGAGCGAGCTCGAGTAGCTCGAATTCGATCACGAATCGAGCTCAAGCTTGAAAAATAAAACTCGATCGAGCTCGAGCCGAGTATCGAGCCCCGATTTGTGAGTCAAGCTCGAGCTCGAGCTTCTCACTATTCAGCTCGGCTCGGCTCGTTTACAGCCTTAGTGATGCACGAAATTTTTAATTTTACATAAAATTATTTTAATTAATTAAATTTAGTATGATGATATTATATTTTTAATTAAATTTATATGTTGTTATTGTATTTATTTTAATTTGAAATTAAAATATAAAAAAATTTTCACACAAAATTTCATTTAAATTTGAAAGTATATATTTTTTATTTTTCTAATAACCTATTTATTAGGTTTGGTAACATAAAATTAAAAGAAGCGATTTGGATTTTAGTATAAAATGTGTGATAAAAATCATTAATTCATGATTGGATAATCACTCATTTTAAAATAAATTAGTTTAATTTTTATGAATTCATCAATCAAACAAAAACATTAAGAGAATTTATAATATAAAAATATATGTTAAAATTAATTTTTTAAATTTTATTTTTATATGTTAAAAAATCTAATAATTTAATTGTAGTAAATTCACTTATATTTATCTTTATCAATTAATCATTAAATAATAAAATTAAAAAAATTTATTAACAAGCCCATTTATTACTAATACTTTTTCATGTTAATATGTACATATATTTTAATATATATTTTAAGATTATAATTGTACCTAAATTATAAATATAAAATGTTAGATAATATAAAAATCAAATCAAAAGTATGTAGTACCAAATTAATATAGGATAAATTTTATATCAATAAGATAATGAAATTAATAAATTTTTTTGTAAAAAGTATATAGTTATTAATTTAATAATTATATAATTTTCAAATTTTATAAGTTTTTGTTTGAAAATAGTTGATAGATAATAATTTTTTAAAATATATGTTTTATATGAATTAATTACTTGAAAGTAAAACAAATTCTTTTCTCACGAGATAGAAAAGAAATCTTTCATTTAATGTAATATTATAAAATTAAAAAGACAATATATAAAATTAAAATTTAATCTTTCAATAATAATTTAAATTTAAATTTAAAATTTTTTCAGTATCAATTATTAAATGGTAATATATCAAAGCAAACTCATATTCTTATGTAATGTCATGGTTGAATGTTAAGAGTTAAAAATGGAATTTAATTTTGATCAATTTAAGGTAAACAATAATAAAAAATTAAATTCTAATTGCAACTTGAATTGTAATTTATTTATAAAAGACAAAAACATTGGCTTTTTATAAGAAAATTATTGTAATATTATATTTATTGTATAAACCATTTAGATAAATCAAGTTTTAACTCTTAACTTGAAAAATTTAAATCCTTGTTTAATTTTGCTTTGTTAATAACACTCGATTTGATCAATATTAACACTATATGAAAACTTGATTTTTACTTTAATTTTTAAAAAAATAAATTTACTCTTAAAAACTTTATGCCTATTAATATAATTTTTTATTATTGGATCAATTTTTTCAAACTATCAAGACCCATTGATGGGTAAATAACAAATCTCAAGTAATTCAATTTACTCCATTAAATGCCAACACATTTTTAATGCATTTTTCAAACTTAGAAGATACAAATTAATTTAGTTAAGGGTAATTGATAGAGATTATACGCTAAGTGATTAATTTCTTTCGAATTTAAAAAAAAAATGACCAAGCAAATTAATTAGCATAATTCTTATTACATATAATAATATTTTAAAAATCAATATATTTATAATTTAAATTATTGAATTTTAAATTTTGTTATCATTATATTACAAAATGATAAAAACTATCATTTAATAAAAATTTAATTTTATTATCATTATTACATTAATTTTAAAATATATTTCGATTTAAATTGACACATGTTTGTGAAAACTCTTACTGGCAATACCATCACCCTTGAGGTTGAAAGCTCTGACATTATTGATAATGTCAAGGCCAAGATCCAAGACAAGGAAGGGATCCCACCAGATCAACAGAGGCTTATCTTTGCTGGTAAACAGCTGGAGGATGGGCGTTCCCTTGCTGACTACAACATTCAGAAGGAGTCTACCCTCCATCATGTCCTTCGTCTAAGGGGTGGCATGCAGATATTTGTAAAACCCCTCACTGAAAAAACCATCATTTTGGAGGTTGAGAGCTCAGATACAATTGATAATGTTAAGTCCAAGATTCAGGACAAGGAAGGTATCCCACCAGATCAGCGGAGGTTAATTTTTGCTGGGAAGCAGCTTGAAGATGGTAGAACCCTTGCAGACTATAACATTCAGAAGGAGTCAACCCTCCATTTGGTGTTACGTCTCCGTGGTGGTAGGCAGATTTTTGTGAAGACTGTCATAGGGAAGACTATTACCTTGGAAGGTGAGAGTTCTGATACTATTGACAATGTAGAGGCTAAGATCCACGACAAGGAAGGGATTCTTCAGATCAACAGAGTCTGATTTTTGCTGGTAAACGGCTGGAGGATGGGAGGAGACTTGCTGATTACAATATCCAGAAAGAGTCAACCTCCATTTGGTGCTGCGTCTGCGAGGTGGAATGCAGATTTTTGTGAAAACTTTGACTGGTTAAACCATTACAATGGAGGTGGAGAGCTCTGACACAATTGATAATGTTGAGGCGAAGATACCACCAGACCAACGAAGGTTGATTTTTGCAGGAAAGCAGCTTGAAGATGGGAGGACGCTTGTAGACTATAACATCGGAAAGGAGTCAACCCTGCATCTGGTTTTGCGCCTTAGAGGAGGGATGCAGAAATTTGTCAAGACCTTGACTGGGAAAACCATCACCCTGGAGGTTGATAGCTCAGACACAATTGACAATGAGAAAGCAATGATTCAGGGACAAGCAGGGAATTCCTCCAGACCAGCAAAGGTTGATCTTTGCTGGGAAGCAGTTGGAGGATGGTCGCACTCTTGCTGACTACAATATCCAGAACGAGTCCACTCTGCATCTTCTCCTGCGCCTCCGTGGTGTCTACTCTAGTACTTCCCTTGGTGTCTATGGTTTTCATATATAATTACCTTCCATGAACCTGTTTCTGTTATGCGCGTCAATTAGTTTGAAAACATTTTAATACTCCGTGGTTAATATATGTTTGAACTTTTTAAAAGGCCACTTGACATATTCTATCGGAGAACCTAATATGATTGTGAGGTCTGTTTTAGATGGCTGTATTCGAAAGAATTCCACCATCTATAGCGGCCGATTTAGTTGCTGTGACTGTGAGGTATTTGAGGGCAATGCCCTGCTTATCCCAATTGAATTAACAATTGGTATTTCAAAGCCTCAACGTCTCCGTTCTGTATCCCATGCTTTGTTTTCTCATATCAGGAATCATTGGGATTTGCATGTGAGAAACGTGAAAGGTGAGATGTTGGGGCATGTTTTGATAGTTTGATGAGGTGGTTTGAAGTTGGTTTCGATGCTTACACGTATTCTGCCGTGCAAATATTCTCGTAAACTGCATTTTTGTCTTGTTTTGATTAGGTTTAGATTCCTTTGGTTGAGATGTCACCATTCGGTTGTGGCCTCCATGATTGGAAATTTGCTTTGATTGTTGTACTTATAGCTGTAATCCAATTTCTAACAGTTTTTTTGTCTTTTTCTCTTTCTCTTGAAACTTCAGATTTACTCTGACCAATCCATAGGTTTATATGTTTGTTATTAATTTGTCAATTTTTTTTTTAAATCTCAGTCTAATTGAATTTTGATTAGACATTATCTCTTAAGGTGAGCATGAATTAATTAAGCTAATTTCATGAATTAATATTTTAATTTTTTACTTTGAGTGAGAGCTTAGGTAAACATTAATCATCATTATCTCTCATAAGCAGGGGAACATTGATCACAGGAATGGAACTCAAGGTTTCGTTTGTTTTACAAAAAATAATTTTTAAAAAAATTTATATTTTTTGAATTAAAATTTTTTTGTTATTTAGATTAATTAATAAAAAATATTTTTTGTTATTTGGTTATTTTCTGTAAAAGTTGTTTTTTTATAAATAATATTAATATAATTATTAAAATATTAAAAATTATTTATTATTAAAAGTATTAATATTAAAAAGTAATTGTATTTTAATAGTAATATTTAATATTAAAATTATTATGTTAATATAAAAATACGTAAAATAAAACTATTTATTATTCTTTATATTATTTATTAATATATTATAATATTATTTATTAATAATATAATTTATTAATATATTTTATAATATTTCTTAATTAAATTAATATTATTTAATATATTATTATTTATTAATATATTAATATATTATTTATTAATAGTATTTATTAATAGTATATTATTTATTTATATAATATTATTATTAATATAATATTATTTATAAATAAAATTATGTTCAAAAATATTAATAAATAATTTTACTCATATATAAATTTTTTTAAAAATATATATATATTTTTTAAAATATCATTTTTTATCGATCAAGAAATCAATTACCGTCGACCGATAAGTTTTTCGCCAAACGAAGAAAATTATTTTTTGAAAGGTTTTTTTCGTGAAACAGAATCCAAATTTGAGACTGACTTCTGACATGAAACAATTATGGCTTCTGCTGTGGTGAGACACTTTTGACATGAAACAACTATGAAACAATCTCCTGCGTCTTTTTACCCTGCAAATCTCCCTACTGCTGTCTCACTGTAAATTTGCCTTATAACCATGGCTTGGCATCTAGGCATAACAGGTTTGTCAGGATGACATGCCCTGGAAGGTATTAGTTTTAAGGCCTAAAGCTATGTTAAAAATCAACATTGACACGTGATGTGAAATCAGGGCCTTCAAGGATCCGTTAACATTGTGTTGATAATACCACTTGGATAAATTTATCTTATTGATTAACTTCATTTTCCCGCCTCAAATCTCTTTGAACACTGACAATAATTAGCTATAGTAATTATCCAAGAAAAAACATCAATATTCTGTACATTCACTTTCAGGTTTCTGTACATTCACTTTCAGGTTTTTCTGATTTACCTTTCTCCCTCTTCTATTTGTTGTTTCACAGCATGTTTTAGATCAGGGCATCGGCACTGCGCATCCAGCTTCTCTAGCTGGAACATGACAGTATCTTACAGTATCATAACAGGCCTGACTGCATGACAAAAAAAAAAAAATTGCTAAAAACATTATAAAAACCGTGGAAAATGGTGAACCAAACACAGTGCACACGATAATGTGCTTTATTATAGTTATCACTACATTCGGGTTGTCACCTCAAAAACTCCAGCTTAAACGCCAGAGTAATGGTGAAACATGCATTATTACAGCTATTGTTCTGCATTTAAAGGCCATGGAGATTTGTCTCTAGAACCAGTTGCGAGATTGCATGTCACACATCCTAGGCTCCATTTCACATTTGCGCATCACTCTCTCAGCCACCTCATACATTTCTTGCTGTTCTTCTCTCCCAAGCTCTCCCTCTTCCAGCAGCCGTTCCACTGCCTGTTTTAGACCAGTGCATTGGCATTGCGTATCCAGCTTCTTCAACTGCTCGCAGCAGGGCTCAATTGAAACGGCAGGACGGCTGTGGCTGCTGCATTGTTCCTCCATGTATTCCCTGCAGTGCGTGAGATAGTTTTGCTTCCTTATCTGCTGTTGACAGCTACGCTCTTGACGTCCCCTGGTTTCTTCGCTGTCGACCGTGATGGTGGTGCGGTAGATGGAGGCATTAGAGAGGAAGAGAACAAGAGCAAAGGTTGCTAGGAGGAGAACGAGCTTTGCCATGGTTGATGATGAGAAAGCTTTGGTTGTTTGGTTTTATGGTGAGAAATAATGGTGTGGGAATGGGTATTTATAAGAGAGTTAGGCCATTGCATGGCAAGTACGTGTAATGTAGGATGGTAACACGTAGGGTTTTGCATGTAAATAATGATGAGAAGTAGCTTTGTTTGTAGAACTGCCTAATTTGTCTTTGTTTGATTAGATCCATCGTTTAGGATTAGCAGTCGGCATCTGCTGTTTGTACTTAAGGATTTGTTCGGTTATCTCAAGGGCTTCTAATTTGGTATAATCAAATTAAGTCAAATCGACAAAATAAAAAATTTAAATTTAAATTTGATTTGAAATTTGTTGTTTAAAACTTAGTTTAAACTTGATTGAATTTTAATTTTTAAATTTAAGCTGATTTAAAATAAAAGTTAAATTACTCGAGCTCGTTGAATTAGATTTATTTATTAAATAAAAAAAAAGCTCAGTTCTCATACTTGATATCAAACTTGATTATTTGTATTTAAACTCGAATTCGAACTTAAATTCATATATATAAAGGCAAAATAATAATTTTTAATTAAAATAATCAAAATATATATTAAAATAGAAAAGCTCAATTAAACTCATATATCACTCGTGTTAGGGAGATAAACCACACTTGGAGCCCATGGGAGCACACCAAAAAGCCTGTACTTATATATTGGATACCACTTAAACCCAAAAGCTTAAGCTATTAGGTTCTTAGATCTTTCATGTATATATAAGACATCTCATTCAGATTTTCTAATGATGTAAAATTTTTTACTCACATGTGAACCATATCTCAATAATCTCCTTTGTTTATGTGTGAATTCTGATCAAATCCCACCTCAGCTCCCTCATACGAGTAAGTCTTATAAACACCTCATTTGGGTCAGGCAACCTTACATCTCTAATATGCTTTTGGGCCAAGCCACAACACTCAACCTTGCCACCTAGGTTGTCTTAGAGCTCCCTTAAACTTACACTCCAAGTTGACTCAACACATCACCCATTTGGATATTTTGCTTTTGTATATTATCATATATTCGTTACATCCAAGTCGAGCCTTTTAAATACCGACGTTTGAGCACGTGGAGTTGATGGATGCTGCTAACCTCGATCTGCCAACAATCTCCCTCAACAACACCATTGGAACTCAAACCCATAACATTGGCTCTGATACCACTTGTTGGGCCTGAAGTGATAAACACAATAACACAGAAGCAATATATCACAATAAATACACAGTAATAGATAATAATTAATAATACAGAAAAAATAAAGCACACCAAGATTTACATGAAAAACTCTTTAGTGTAGAGAAAAAAATCAAAAACTACAAAAAAAATTTTCATTATCAAATAATGGATATACAAAATTTTTATTTAGCTAAAACTAAAACTAATCAACAACTAGAGAGAGACAATTAGAGAAATCTCACCAAATATGTGACTTAATAAATACACCCTAGATTTATTCTTAGAGAGCTTCAAACTAGATCTTCACCATTCAGAATGTAAAACTCTGAATCATAAACTTGTTGATAAAATTTCAACTCAATCGACTACGAATTGACTTATGTTCAACCAACTTTCCCTTTTTTCTTTTCTCTCTATTTTTTTTTTTGGCCATTTTTTTTCTTTTCTTGGTTTACATTACCACCTTAAAATAACCCCACCTCTTTTTATTAAATAGTTAGGGCTCTATGTAAAAAAAAGACTAAGGCCTATGGCTTTTAATTAGTCCAAACCCAATTACATGGGGCTGTACCCTATTTTCTTAATAATATTTTCCTTCAGCCTTATTAAGAGGAGATTCATCATCATAGTAGTTTTATTTGGAACTTACCTTGGCCAAGGAACTCATTCTAGCCAAGTTACTACAGAGCTCAAGTTTCTCTCTAATAAGTATTTTAGTCAATATATCTATTACATTCTCATCAGTATGGATTTTTCTTCAACAGCATCTATTATTCTTCAATCACTGAACGTAGCCAGTGATATCTAACATCAATGTGTTTTGTTTTAGCATAGTACATGACATTCTTACTCAAATCTAAAGTACTCTAGCTATTACAAAACATCATATACTTTTTCTAATTCAACCTCAATTTAAGAAAAAAATATTTCATCAAAAGCATTTCTTTACCTACTTTGATTGCTATAATATATTTAGCCCTATAGTTGACAAAGTAACACACTTCTGTAACTTAGACTGTCAAGACAACTCTTTATGCAAAAGTGAACAAATACATTGAAGTAAATTTTCTATCATCAAGATCATCAGCCAAGTCAGCATTAGTAAATCCTTCTAGAATTGATTGTAAAACTTCATAACTCAAGCATATTTTTAAAGTACCCTTTAAATATCTAAAAATCTATTTCATTGCTTCCCAAGTGAGCCTTTCTCAGATTAAAAAAAATTTGCTCACTACACCAACTGCATAAGCAATATCAAGCCACATACAAACCATAAAATACATTAAATAACCGAATGCAGAAGAATAAAAATAATAAACATAGCTAGTTGCTCTTTCTTAGACACCAAACAAGAGTTCTTACTTAGATGACAATGATTGGCAAGTGGATTGCTAATTGATTTAGCATATTATATGTTAAATCTACTAAGCACCCATTCAATATACTTTTCCTATAACAACCACAATTTTTCAACTCTCCTATCTCGAATAATGTCCATATCAAGAATCTGCTTTACTAGACTTAAATCTTTTATATCAAAAGACTTAGATAATTATTCTTTCAACTTGTGACCCATACCAGCAACTTGTCTTACAATCAACATATCATCAATATATAATAAAAGAATAATAAAGTTATCATTAAAAATTTTTTTGACATACACACAAGGATCCGTTACCATTTTTTTATAGCTATGGTTCATCATAAAAGAATCAAACTTTTTCTACCACTATCGTGGAGGTTATTTCAAGCCATTTAATTTTTTCTTTAGTTTACAAACTAAATGTTCTTTCTCTTTCACATTAAAACCCTCAAGCTGATTCATATAAATATCTTTCTACAAGTCACCATGCAAAAATACAGTTTTAACATCAAGTTACTCAAGTTTAAGATTCAAACTAATTGTTAATCATAGCACCACTCGAATGGAACTCATCTTCATAACTGGAGCAAAGATCTCATTAAAATCGATGCCTAGTTTTTGAGAAAAACCTTTTTATCACCAATCGAGCTTTGTACCTCACTAGTTTATCACCATCTTTTTTCAATTTGAACACCCATTTATTCTTCAACGGCCTTCTCCCTTTAACAAAAGTTTAACAAGATCATATGTATCATTTTTTTACAATGACTCCATCTCTTCTTTCATTACTTTTAACTAATGCTTTTTATCTCGAGTAGCCTGCACATCTTGAAAGCTTTCTGGCTCCTCATCATTAGTAACTAAAATAAAATCTGAACTTAGATATCTGGTGTCGTAATGATTTTGTATCCTTCTGATGAATTTAAAAAAAAAAAAAACGGAGTCGCCACTAATCTTTTTTGGCTAGGTGCGATTGGTTACCTATTAAAATTTCTCCTTTTAACAAAATTTTAAAAATTAATTAAAATTTATTAAAAAGATAATTTTATGGTCTACAAAATAGTTTGGGTTCATGAGTCGGTTACACGTAGGAGGGATTAGCATCCTCATAGCGTCCATTTAAAAATGGTACCACTTAACTACGTGTTATCCTTTGATTTTGATAAAAAAACAGTCTCATTTTTTATGTTTCAAAAATAATTTTCTTTGTTTTTTTTTTTCATTTATTGGAAATTGGTTTTTTATAAAAAGTTTATTATTCAAATTTTATTTAGGAAAAATAAATTAGAACTATTTTATTAAAATAATTTTTAAAATGTTCAAATATGTTGGTAACATTAAAAAAACTCTTTCTCACCTAGATATTTCTTAGACATCGCTTCTTGAAATACCTTACAATCTCATCTTAGGAGGCTCAAATTTATTTTTCATAAAAATTTTATTAAGCATGCAATGCAAAATGCTGATATACTGATGCAAGTATTTTATTTTTTTTAAAAAAATTATTAGTTTTATTTTATTTCCTTTTTATTTAAAACTTTGAAGAAAAATGAATTTTTATTATATTGAAGATTTTTTATAAATATACCAATACACTGGTAATATTTAAAAAAATATTCTCACCTAAGGATTTCATAAAGCATCTCAACTTGAAATACTTATAGAATCTCATCATCGAATAAAATTTCTTTTTTTCTCATTTCTATTACTTATTCTTAATTTATTAGTTAATTATTATTTACTATTTTATAACAAAAGAAAATTTTTATTGTATTAAAAATTTTTAATAAATACTCCAATACACTAGCAGTACCTTTAAATCTCATCGTCAAATAAAAATTTTCTTTTCTTATACATTTTTTATTAATTTTGTATTATTAGGAAGTTTAGTTTTAAAAAATAAAAATTACAAATTTTTACTATATATTTCATTATTTATTTTTATTAATCATTAATATAAAATAACAAAAATTTATTCTATCAAATTTGAACATTTTAATATGTATAAATATTAATAATAAAATTTAAAATAACAAAAAAAATATTTTAAAAAAATTAAAAAAAAATTCACCTGAACCGGACCGGTCAACAGTCCGATCAACGTCGGTTCGAGCGATTTTACAATCTAGGTCGATTCAGCGGTTCAGGGTCGGTATGGATCGACTCAGCTAGACCGATCTAGGTCTGGGGTAGAGGCGGGTCGCGGGTTGGGTGCACGAATCTTGGTTCAGGTAAAGGCTGACACGCGGATATTCTTGGGGTCAAAACAACGTCGTTTTAGGTCTTTAATGAAATAGAGTCGTTTTAACTTTCAGCTTTCTATAAAAACCAAAAAAAAAATTTCTCTAATTTTTTTCTCTTTTTCTCTCTTTACACCTCTCCCTCTCAGAGAGCTTCTCTCTCTAGATTGATCGGTTAATCATTGATTGCTATGTCGATCGTCGATCGTCAGTTGTCGATGTCGTTGTCGGTCGTAAAAAAAATCCCAAAAATTTTTAAAAGATTCACTCTTTTGCCCCCTGAGTACATATCTGAGCTTGGTTTTACCTGAAAATATCTGAGCTTGATTTTACCTGAAAATATCTCAAACGGCCTAGATCGACCTTTAAAGCTTCGACCAAACCTTTTTTTTTTTATTCTGACTTTTTTTATTGACTTTGATTTTTTTTTTTTGCAGGTGTTTCGATGCTAGGTTCCCCATTTCAGGGGACTGTGTTTCTGATATTTTCTTTTAGCATAATCTTTTTTTTTTTGCAAAGTATCCGACGTTCCCTTTTAGGATGTTTTTGCAGCTCTATTTATAGAGCAAAAAGAAGATCAAAATTTTAAAAAATTTAAGATTTTGATCGCCTATAATTAAGGTAGCCACCAGTTGTCAGAACGGCTATCGATGGTTGCCAGAGCTGCTGGTAACTTGCAGACGACTGTCAGAGCTGCTGTCAAAAAAAAAAAGAAAAAGAAAAGGAAAAGAGAAAGCAAAGAAAAGAATGAAAGAAAAAAAGGAAAATAAATAAATAAATAAGAATAATAATAATAAAATGGTGTCTACACTTGGTAGATGGCTTGTGTTCTCTAGTATATCTCCTAGGCTGAGACTCTACATCACCTAATGTCAAAGGTAGCTTTTCATGCTCAACACTCTCTAGTGGAATAGATTGCTTTTCTTGCTTAAAATTGATTACATCCAGCTTGTCATTAACTGTGGCTGGCACATTCATATCTTCAAATTTTATTTTTTGCTTATTTTCATCATCTGTGGCTTTTTTTGTGAAACTCCGTCGGTATTGAAACATCATACTCAATAATAACTTATGTAGTCTTCTCATATTTCTCTAAGTCTAATATGATTTTTTTTTTATAGAAGATCTCATCTATGCTTATGATTGTTTTTTTTTTCACTAGATCCAATACCCTATAGCCAAAATTTTCATCACTATATCCTATGAACACATTTTGTATAGCTTTACTGTCAAGCTTTTACCTATGCTTTTTTGGCACATGCATAAATTTTTTACATCTGAAAACTTTCAAGTGAGAATATAAAACATCTTTACCTGTCCACACTCTTTTTAGAATGTCAAAGCTTAAAAGAACTGATGGTGATCTATTAAGCAAATAACAAGTTATGTTGACTGTTTCACCATAGAATGGCTTTAGTAATTTTACCATCCTCAATATACATATGACCTTTTTTATAATGGTGTGGTTTATTTTTTCAGCTATACCGTTATGCTACAATGTTCTAGGTTTTGTCATCTCATGCCTGATCTCATGCTTTGAACAGTACTCTTCAAAGTCTTTGGATGTGTATTCCCTATCATTATCAATTCAAATACACTTCAAGGGTAACCCTATCATCCTTTTCACTATGGTATGAAATTTTTGAAAATACCACAATACCTGACTTTTATTTTTTAACATATACACCCAAGTCTTACGTGAAGCATCATCGATAAAAGTAATAAAATACATGCTACCACCTAATGACTCAACTTTAATGGGATCACATATATCAGAATAAATCAATTCCAATATATTTTCTTTTCTTTAAGAAGTCTTACGAAAAGAAACTCTAAGATGCTTACCAAACAGACAATTATCACATGAATCGAGAGACATATCTTTAGTTAAAAAAATTAGAGACTACCCTGTCAAAACCTGTAACCCTTTCTCATTCATGTGTGCTAGCCTTTTATGCCACAAGTTTGCTAAAGCATCATCCTTAATGATATTTATCTGTTTGCCATTCAATTGCATCTATATATTGTATATTATGCAGCATAATTTTCTCGTTACAACTACTATAGATCCTTTTAAAAGCTTTCATTGCCCTTTTTTTGTCGACTCTCATATCCTTCCTTATCAAGGATATTAATAACAAGTAAGTTCATTTTTATATCTGAAATATATCTAATATTCCTCAAAGTTAACATGCAGCCTGTACTAATTTGTACAATAATATCACCAATCCTAACAATCTGCGATACACTTTTGTTTCCCATTTTGGTGCAACCAAAGTCTCTTACTTCGTAAGTTATAAACAATTTTCTTTTAGGAACATAATGATATACCGTTCCTGTGTCAATGATACACTCAATGTCAAGATCACTAACATGATTGCAATCACCATATGTACAAATCAAAGTAATTGAATCACTATCTGACTTCACTGTATAACATTGTCATTATCCGAACTCTTGTCTTTCTCATCTTTTCGCTCTTGCTTCAAGATTTTACAATCTTATTTTATATGACATACTTTACTATAATGAAAAAACTTTACTTAATCTATAGACTTGGATCTATGTTTAGACTTACTACGGCCTTTTGAGTTTTGACCTCTGTCGTTGTTTCTACCCATTTCTTTATGATCAAAGCTTGATTCTCATGGTCTAAATCTTTTCGCCTTGCTTCTTCATTAAGCATATTATCCTTTACCATCTCTAATGTCACCTTATAATCAGAAGCTGAATTAAGAATAGTCACAACTAGAGTATGTTAGCTGTCTGGCAATGAACCTAAAAAAAATAATGTATTTATTTCATCATCTATCTTAAGCTCTGTAGTAGTCATCTGATTAAATATATCTTGAAAATCACTCAAGTGCTCTGTAATCGATTGTCCATATTTGTACTATAAAGTTGCAAGTTTTTTTTAACAAGCATAACTTTATTCATACCTTTTTTTTTTTTCATATAATGTTGTCAATTTTTCTTAAACAGTGTGGGCATCTGTCTCCTGCGCTACATGATGAAATATCAATCAATTTTTTTATTGTAGCTAGCATCTTTCTACCTAACTTATTCTAGCTTTTCATCTTTCATATATGTTGGTTTAGCAAAATCACTCAAAATCGACTCATACAAATCTTTGTAATATAAATGATCTTCAATCATAGGCTTTCAAATTGAATAATTTGATACTATTAATTTTATCATGAAACTTGTATCACCTTTCATGATCTCAAACAGAATTTACTTTTGTCGTAGGCTACTTTTATATCAATGTCTCAAAATAACTCTCATTTTGATACCACTTGTTGAGGAGATAAATCATACTTAAAACCCATAAGAGCACACCATAGAGCCATATATACATGTTGGACACCACTCGAGCCCAAAAGCTTAAGCTATTAGGTTTTTGGATCTTTCATGTATATATAAAATATCTCATTCAGATTTTCTAATAATATGAAATTCTTTATTCACAAGTAAACCATATCCCAACAACTTAAGCTAGGCATTAAGATGCTTGAACTCGATTTACTTGATAAATTAAAATATTCGAGTTTGAGCTTAAACTCGCCTCCACAATAATCAAATCAAATTCAAATTTTATTTGAATTGAATTCAAATAACTTATAATCTTTTTTAAAATGACATCTAAAAATTCAAATATTTAATACTTGTAATTTTTTACTCGACTATAATCTTTTATGAAAAAAAATTAATTTATTATTTCTCATATACGAGAGTTATCATAAAATTTTAATATAACTTATTCAAAACTATTTTTTTCTTGAATTAAAGTCTCGTAATCATAAAATTTCATATTAATTTATATTTTGAAAAATATCGTAAAATGATTTAATCACAATAAATACAAAAGGCTTTTATTTTAAATATTCTAATTAAATAAATTTAATTTTTTGTTAACAAATTTTAATTTGCATTTTGTGATTCAAATTAAAATTACATCAAAATTCAATAAGAACTTCCACAAAACCAAAACAATAGAATCAGAACTTATTTTAGATAATACCAATCAACTTTTAGATTAATATTACTAATTTTGAAGGGTGGAATTACAATTTTTTTCATTTCCATCAAGGTTTTTTTATGTGTTTAATTTCACAACTTTCTAAATCTAAAAAAATTTGACAATTTTTTTCTTTTTCAATAATTTATATGTTTGCTATCTAATTCAAACGGTGTCGTATATGTTTGTGATAAAGACTGCAAACGGTGTCGTATGTATGTAGCCAATCTTCGTACGGACAATTCTACCCTTTCACTTCCAAACTTACTCATTCTCCTAGTCTAAAAGAACAAATAAACTAACCTTAATCATCGTACACGTGTCCATCCAAATCAATCATGCTCTGAAGTAATCGCATTCACGTTTTAATAATTTGTATATTCATATTATATAAAATATAAATAATTAATATACTTATAATTATTTTATATTAAAATTATATATCATAATTTATATATATATATAAATATAATTTTTTTTAATTTCATTAAATTTATAAATAATTTTTATTAAAATTTTAAATCATTTTTTTTCATCATTTTCGTATGATTTTTTTTTATCATTTTTATATGTTATTATTACGTTGTGTTTTAAATTATTAGCTCGACGTATTTCAAATCCAAAATTAAAAAAAAAAAAAACTATAAATTTTTTCTTCCCAAACCAACCCTCAAGCTCAGCGACAGAGACGGAAACTCGGATCATCAAATTTAGAATTTCTTTATCACATAATCAGATTCTTGATTATCCAAAACCCTAATCTTCAAATCAGGTACGTTTCAACCGCTTCTCTAATTTTTTTCTTAAAATATTGTAATTGATTATTTGATTGTAGAAATTATCTTCGATTCTTGTTTCGTTGGATTGATGGTTAGGGTTTTTTTTATTGTCTTAAAGGTTCTCATCGTGGTATTAATCTTTTAAAAGAATTTGAATTTTTGACTCCTTTTGTGAAATTATTATTGCTATCTGCATTTAGCTGTTGGGTAAAATTTGATTAAGCAAAGTGTTAATCTTTAGCACTTGTGGCATCATCTGTATTCATGTTGATGTTCTCGTTAGTTTAGTCAGCGGCTAAACGATGTCGTTACCGCTCAATCCTTTGTATCCTCTTTCTTTTTAGCAATGTTGGTCTTTCGTTTGATTCTTACTTGCCTGAGCCTTAGGTATCATCCTGAAAATTCACTCACTTTTCTTTGCCTTTCTAAGCATCCAAACAGAGAGTTACTACCAGTAATCGATCTGGGTTTTCATTGTTCTTTTCAATTTTGATAAAATAAAATAACATAAAATAAAATATTTCTTCTCTATGTTAGGGTTTTATATTTTTTACCATTCAAATTTATACTCATTTTTTAATAATAGTTCTTTTCTATTTCCAGTTATATAAAATGGAGGAAATATTAGCTTTTGTTCTTTCAATGCTTCTCGTTCTGGCATTAATTCCATTATATCTATGGAAACACCGTCAAGATAATCGAGTAACCGATGAACATGTTGAGCAACAACAGGTATGTTTGAAGCATTATAGAAGTTTCAATCTTCGTTTTTTTTTTTTTTATGTGGTTTTTTGATTTGTTGGTATTGGTTTCAGGCTCCAAGAAGGGAAAATGTAGTCCGAGGTGGGGCCACTGGTAGTCGTAGTAGGATGCGGAGGAGACCAGCTGCTGTTGGAGGAGCTAGCACATCATCGGCTGCAACTGCAGAAGGTTTGTGAATTGTAAAGAATGTGAAGTTTGAATTCTTTTTTAGACTGCAGCATGTGATAAAGGGAAGGGTTATAGTTGCTGGGATTTGATCTTTAGACCGGTTAGATTCCATTTCTTAAAAGTAATTGTATGAACTAATTGAATTAAACTCGAGTTTAATGTGAAGTTCAATTTGGTTGTTGAGAATTTAACAAAGTTATTGATTTAATGACATATGGGACTTTTTTGCTGTAGTTGTGAAAGTGAAATCTATGTGTGAAATGTGTAGAGGAGAATAATATGTGACTATTCTGCGAATGGATATTTTGGATGTTATTATTTCTATCAGTTAGTGGGATTATCTTCAATTTAGGTAAGAATTATAAGGTTGTGTGAGCGAATATAGAGAGTGCAATTTATGTTATTCATAGACTAAAATTGTGCCAAGGAGTGGCTTGTCTTTGATGTTTTAATGTGTTGTTTATGAGGATTGAGAGAGGGAAGATTTGGTTTTGTGTGAATATGAACAAAGCTTTATTTTGTTAAAGAGTTATTGAGGTTATATAAGCACTTCCTAATCCTTCTATTCTCATCCTAAGGTGCCAAAGGAGATGACTGCTGTAGCATTAATTTGAATTACGCTTGTAGGACGGTCTAGTTTTCTTTCCTTAGAATGCTCGTTTCTTTGCTTGAGGTCTCTAGCACTGAGTGAAGTATTTATCTATCCGAATGTCAATGTAGAAACTGCTGATGGAAGTGATGAAGAAGATGAGGCAGATGGGTATTACGAGGCTAAAACATCAAAGAAAAAGGAAAAGAAACAGCAAGAAAGGGAAGCACAAAGAAGGGTACTTCATTATGATCTTATTCTCTACTTATTTATTTTATGTTATGCTTCGACTTTTGGCCATGGCTCACTATGTTCATATGATTTTGATCAAGGCTGAAGAGACTGCTCGTGAGTCAAGGCAGACTAAACTGGACCGATATGCTGAAATGCGGAGGAGGAAGGATGAGGAGCATGAAGCAGAGGAACGTAGGCTGGTGTGTTGATTGCTTTCCTCTTTGAGACACTGATGTACACAGAATCCACACACATAACCACACATATATAAATTCCTGGTTCAAGATATTTGCGATGGTTTATGTAGGAAGAAGAAGCTGAAGCTCGAAAGGCCAAGGAGGAAGAAGCTGCTGCACTGGAGTTTGAAAAGTGGAAAGGGGAGTTTTCTGTTGATGCTGAAGGAACCACTGAGAATGAAGTGCAAGATGGAAGTCAGGACTTGCTTTCTAACTTTGTGGAATACATTAAGGTACTTTTGAGCCCTGTATGTATTGATGATAACAACACAAATTTTTTCTCTGGCTGTTCTTTTCAATCTCCTGTTCCATTTGGTCTTTTTTCTTTTGACGAGAAAATGAATATCAGATTTGAATTTTTTATCTGAAAGTATCTTAATTGGAATTTATTAAAGGTTTGGAAGTACTTGTGCTGTATAATGACAGAATAAGTATTAAACGACATACAGTTCATTAGGTGCCAACAAGGCTTTGGAATGAGTATTGTTGTGTTGCTTTTTTGTTATTTATGTATTTCTATGACCTTGCAGAATCATAAATGTATTCCTTTGGAAGATCTTGCTGCAGAATTCAAGTTGAGAACACAGGTATATGCTCTTGATGTTCACCCTTTAAATCAAACCCTTTCATATTTTTACTTTTGGCCTCCTTATGCAGCAACGAATGCGTTTTAATTTCGGTTTATCAGTATTCATTTGTTATTAAACAATAGATCCACTAAGCTCTGTTTGCATTCCATTCACATTGTTTGTTCCATAGATGAATCTATTTGTCCAAGGGAAACCAGTTACTGAATTGTGTATTGCCTCTTTTCTTCAATCCCATTCCTATCCGAGATTTTGCCTTCTAACTTTCAATTACAACCTTCTGTCGATGCAGGAATGTATCAATAGGATAACCTCCCTTGAAAGTATGGGTATGTAGCAATTTATTTCAGCACTAATTTCATGAATGAATAATTATGTGCTTGCCATCTATGATTTAATGATTTGTTTGTGGGTCCATCATTTGCATTGTGCACAGGGCGACTTTCTGGTGTCATGGATGATAGAGGGAAATATATATACATATCACTAGAGGAGATGCAGGCGGTCGCTGATTATATTAAGCGTCAGGGAAGGGTTAGCATTTCGCATTTAGCCAGCAAGTCCAATCAGTTCATTGATTTGGAGCCAAAAGTTCAGTCTGTGGAGGAGATCAGCATAGCAAACGAAATCACTGAAGCTTGATTCAATTGTCTACCCCTTCCCCCTTCTCACTAGTAAGTAGAGTACAAATTTAATGCGGTAAAATATAGCAATTGCTTTATGAAAATGGCCAGATTGAGCTTTGTTTATGCATTTTTACATGTTTAAAGCAGTCTTGTTGTGTTTAATTTTTTTTCTTAAAAACTCCGGTAGATCTGATATTTTGGAGCTACGTACACGTCTGAACCCCCTGCGTACCTACGTCGTATTTACGTCCTACACTTAGATGCTTTCGATAGATCAGACTATACATTGAACTTGGTTGGATACGGTAAAGAAGGAAAAAAAAAAAAAAAACTTGTGCGGTTAATGATACCTATCTTCTTTTATTATCGTGTTTGCTATAATTTTTTCTTCACAAGGATAATTGCTTTTTAAAATAAACTCAATATTTACTATATATTAGTAACTGAGGATTATAATATATAAAAAATATTTTTTATTGATGCGTCCTGTTATATTCGTGTCTTCAATTTTTAAAAATTATCGCGTCGTTGTATCTGTATATTTGTAGTGCTGTGTGCTCGTGCTTCATGGTCGGTTGTTGAGTCTCCTAGACTAGGGTAAATGTGACGAACATTTGAAGGTTGTTAATTCGAAATTAGCATTAAAAAAAAAGTCAAAATCGGTAAGATTTGAACTTAAGAAAATTTTGAAATAGATTTGATAATTTAAAATACGATTTTGTAATATGATATAAAAATAATATAAATAAAAAAGATAAAAATATATGATTTAAAATTTTTAAAAAATATAAATAGATTTAATAAAATTAAAAAATTATTTGAGGGCAATCTGCCCACTTGTCTTGAAACCAAACCTAATTCTGTGTCCTAATCTTACTCGTAACAAGACATTGACAATAGCCGCAGGTGCCCATTGATTGTCCCAGTTCCAAACGTCGTCGTTTTAAACCCCAACCTTCAACATTATTTCCAAACAATTTCAACCACCGTTGACAATTGTACCCCTCCAAGTGAACACCTCTTTCCATTCTCCTCATCGACAGCACAAATTCACGCTCTATTCTATCAACCGCTACGTGTCCATTTATAATCATCAAAAGCATGTACTAGCGATTACAATATCATAATCATACTCTCACAAGTATAATCGCATCACCTCCAATTGCGTGGAAAAAAATCAATGTCTTTTCGCTTTTTAATAATAGAATATTTTCTAGCCTCTTCCTTTTAATTTCCTCGCCATCCAAACAGAAAAAATTAAACTCCACTACCCGCAACAAACGCAGGGACACGCCTTTCAGACGTTATCAGATCTTTAGGGTTTCCTTATTATTTTTTGATACTCCGAATTTCAATTCTCTAAAAAAGCCCTAAAATCCTCGGATCAGGTAACTTTTTCCCTACAGCTTCTCTAATTTTCCTTTAATTGGTATTTTGGGGGTTAAAGATCAAATGTTTATTGTCCTTTGATTGATATAAAACTTTTCTGATCATGGGTTTTGTCTATATTATCAAGATTTATTTGTATTTCTTTAATTTATATGCTAATTATTCATAATTACTTCAGATTAAGAATCGCTTTTGCCTGAAGTAAAGGAACAAAATTTAATATTCAAGTTACTTTTTTTTTTTTGGATGGAATTTTGTTGCTAATTTTTTAGATAATCAGATTAGATTGAAAATTTTTAATTTAAAAATATAGAATCTATAGTCTTTACTAGGTTTTTTTTTTTGTAAACATGTCAGTTGATTCTATAATGTGCTGTTTAGATTAATTATGCTATTTTTGGAATGAAATTGTAGCTAATTCTGTATCACCTTGTTCCATAATGCATAAATTAAAGCTTTTTTGGCTTAAATTTATTATTTATTTATTTATTCAAACCTTTAGACTTTAATCTTCCTTAGGAGGGATAACACACCTTAGACCGAGTCTGGGCTATTGGCTTATTGCTTACAAGTTTAAATCTTGTGATGATTATAGGTTGCTTGTTTTGGGTTTTGATTTTAGGATGATTATATCATTTTGTGAGGCTTGTATGGCTTTTCTATTCGACTTGTTAATGGGAATGAGATGCTTAATTTGGTTTCATTGCCAAGATGGAATTTAGGCTGCCTGATTTTTTTATCGTTTTACGCAAAAACTATTCTTATTCTTGATGGGGATATGATCATATCTTTTTGTGAGTTTTGTAAGGCTTTTGCTTGTTCTGTTCAACTTGTACATGGGAATGAGATGCCCACTTTGGTTTGGTTGCCATAATGGAATTTTGGCTGCGTGATTTTTTTATTGTTTTACGTGAAAACTATTCTTATTCTTGATGGGGATATGTTATATAAAGTCGAATCTGATATGGGTATTGCATAACATGTTTAGGTCTGAGCTTGTGATTGTTAGGCCTCTTTGATCGACTAAGTTTCATGTCTGATCTCGACATCCAGATTCCTACTGCCTTTGGTATGCTTGGATCCTAACTTCCCGAGTTACACTATTTATCATTGGATTTGATCTGTCTGGTGTTTTTAATTTTGGTTTGTCTTTTGTATCCGTTGTGCTAGATCCTTTTGCTGATGCAAATGCTGAGGACTCAGGTGCTGGTGCAAAGGATTATGTGCACATTCGTATTCAGCAGCGGAATGGTAGGAAAAGCCTGACAACTGTCCAGGGGTTGAAGAAAGAATTCAGCTACAACAAAATACTCAAAGACCTCAAGAAGGAGTTTTGCTGCAATGGTACCGTGGTCCAGGACCCTGAATTAGGGCAGGTGTGTGTTTAACCCCTTCAGAGATTATGAACCTTTTCGATTTCTGTTATTCGCTCCCAATGATGGTTAAGTTTGTTATGTTGCCGTTTACAAATTCAGGTTATTCAACTTCAAGGCGACCAGCGTAAGAATGTCTCAACCTTCCTTGTTCAGGTAATTTCTATCGGTTCTTTGAATATTTAGATGTCTTAGGTGACATTAAGCAAAAGCGCCTGCCTCTGACTTAGTGTGATGTTTGAGTTCCTAATCTTCATGGCTGTTCTTTTTTAACCAGGCTGGCATTGTGAAGAAGGAAAACATCAAAATCCATGGTTTCTAAGTCGCAGCTGTGTCGAGTTTTCTTCTAAGTCTCCTGCGTTGTGTCTGAAGCAGGAAATACTACTTGATTAGGATATATATATATATATATTTACTGTTATATCCTCTCTATGTTGGTTTGATAATCGCATATGCATCTTTTGTTTCTTGTGCTTTCCAGTTCATCGGATACTGTACTGTTGGATGATTATGAAATCTATGGAAGTTTGTTTCTCTACAATTCAAAGATAAAACAAGTGATTTTTTAGTAGGAGTGTTAGTTAGTGGTTCGGTTAATCAGGAATAATATTTAAAGATTGGTTAATAAAACGAATATTTCAAAATTGGTTAATAAAATGAATAGATTATGAACATAATAATATTTCAAGATGTTAGTCAACAAACTAATGAAGCATCGAAGACCAATACTGTGAAATGAATTCACCCAACAGAAAAAAAATTAAACAAAATTATAGAAATATTGGCAACTCTTAAACTTGCAGGCTGTATTGAGGTGATAATGTTTTGGATCAAATTTGATTCTAATTTTTTTTGTATATTATGAATATTACACAATATTATCAAAATTAAAATTTTGAAAATTTTGTTTTAAATTTGAATTGAATTTTCATTCAATTTGAATCGAATCGAAGTTTATCGGTTCGATTTATCGGATTTTAATTTTATTTTAATATAAAATTTTAATATATTTAAATAAATTTTGATATAAAATTATTAATTTTATTTTTTAAAAAATTTAAAAAATATATAAAAAATAAGATATATATAATTAGGTTCAATTTAATTTTTTTTATATTTTTCACCTCTCAATTTAAAATTTGATCAAAATTTAATATATACATTTAATATTTAAATTTGATCCGAATCGAATAAAAAAAATTGATCCAAATCTAATCGAATATTACAATTTCAAATTAAAATTTGGATTTCTTGATTTTTTTTTTCACCTCTAATCTTTGTGTTATAAATGGTGAGCCAAAAGTGACGATGGTTATGCCAAATGGGAGATTTATGAGAAATATTCCATTAGATATAAAGGAATGCAGCCATGAATAATTATTTTTTAATTTCCAGGATGAATTTTCATTGAATTGACATGAGCATTATCTGCTAGTGTAAATATTATAAATCCTACAAGAGAATTTGAGAAAATCTTTGATGGTAATGAAATTAAGAAATCATTTAAGTTTTAAATGGAAAAAAAAAGGAAAAGAACTCATAATTTATTTTTTTCCTTTAATAAACAAACCCTCATTATTTAACATTATTAGCGGCGTGAACGAATAAATACGAAAAAATTTTATTATATATATTATTTATTTATTTATTTAATAAATTTTAAAATATTGTTTGTATTATTTATTAAATTTAATAAATGAATATAAACTTAACATATTTATAAATTGTCTGTAAAACACATTATTTATTTACATTCTCACGTATAAATGAAATGAATATTAATTAATTTTATTATATTTATGATTTATTCATTTAATTAATAAATTTTAAAATATTATTCATAATTATTTATTAAGCTTAATATATAAATATAAATAAAAAATTAAATTTATTTATAAATTTTTCATCCATCTTAGAGCTATCCTATTATTGTAAAAGGCCAAAATTACATCACTTTCTTTTATTTTCCATTCTCTTCAAAATTAGGCTTTATTTTGGGGACCTGCCTTGTTATAGATTGGTCCCCAAGTACATGCTAGATATGTAGCTCTTAAAATGAATCTATTATAAAGGGTCCCAATTAAGATTCCTTTTGCAAGTTTTCTAAGCCTTCAACAATTTCTAACAATAAATATGCTTCATAACTCATATAAATGACAAACCTTTTCTCTTTTAAGTTTCTACTTAATCAAGACTTATGGGGTATGTACCCACCTTTTTAAGTTCTTTTGTTGCAAAATAATGTCAATTTTAAATTTAAAACTTAACTTGATTGATTTATATGGTTATTTTTAACAAATGACATCCTATAAGTACAAAATTTAAATGAGTATAAAATTCAAATTTTAGTACTTATAACTTTTTCTTGATTTTTTATATATATATATATATATAATCAATTTCATTTCACGAAACTTCTATATTTTTCTTAAAAAGGAATCGTATACGAGTAATGTTAGACTTATTTGTGCCAAGTTGATTTTGAAGAGTAAAACTTTAAAATCATATGAGAGAAGAAAAAAAGCGATTAACAACAAAGGTTGGAGTGGTTCCAATGTTTATGTTTCGGACATTCAACTCAAAGAAATAAAAAGGAGAAAGCAAAACATATGAAAAAGCCATATACTTGAAAGGTACCTAGATGAAACTATTTATACTTGTAAGATGAGGGTTGTGGGCAAACTATATTATTCGAGATCAATCCTACGAGTTAGGGGTGATTTGGTAGGTTCGAGTTGACATAACATTTGACTCTCCATTAAGGCATGCCAAGTTAGCATTTTAGGGGTTCAACATGTGGATTTGATGAGGTGGTCAAGCTAATGTAGATTCATAAATTCAGGTTAGCCTAACATGTTAGCTCGATCAAAAAGTTTAAAATATTTTTAATTGTCTGTTGACTTATATTAATCGAAAAAAAAGTTTAATTTACCCTTTAAATTTAAAAATATCTCTAACAACACCAAACTTGAATAACCCTTTTAGTATTATATACTTGATCTTGATTAATGATATCAATGCCACCATTAATGAGGTTCTCTTGAATATTAGGGTATAAAGTTTTCAAATTAAGATATCAAAGTTTTAATGAATAATGAAATATCTGCTTATTATCCTTATAATGAACTTTGCTTAAGGTGAAAAATGTTGAAGGGCCCTTAACCATATCATTTTAGTAGCATCAAAACTATATATTTACAAATACATATGCCTTTTCCCTGAAAAATCCTAGAAATTACACTCAAACATAAATCTTCCAAGTGTAACAAAGTGACCAAAAAATGACCAAATGTTAGAGATTTTGATGACAAAAGATCACCAAAAAGTTCATAGTCGACTTGACAAAGACATAGAAGAGTGATTGCCAACAAATTGGCTGAAACCAAATACACCAAAAGGACTACTTCTTTGTTGGCAATGGAAGGGAGAAAAAAATTGAAATAATTGAAAATTGATTTGAAATTATAGTATTTAATTTAGTTTATATTGGATTTTGAATCAAAAAGTAAAAAATCGAATTGTATCAATTATATATTTTTATTAGTTTTTTTATATAGTTTTTAAATTTTTATAAAATATTTTATATCTAAAATTATTTAAATATATTAAAAATTTATATTAAAATAATATATAAAAATTTTAAAAATAAAAATTGATAAACTAAATTGAATTATTAAATTTAATTTAAATCAAACGGTATAAAATTCATTTCAAATTCAAATCAAATTTTAAAAATTTATAATATTATACGTTAAAAAAAAATTGAATCGAATTTGAATAGATGTTATGCCAATTTGCATGAAAACCTTGAATCATTGAATGAGATAAACCATAATCAGTTGCAAAAAAGGCAATCAAATCTTTCAAAATGAAATCCTAACAATTCTAGACCCTTCAAATCCTATCCTTTCGCCACGTGTCCTCTAAGATATTTACTTCGCTTCCTACTCTTATATTTTGCCACCCTCTTCACCTATGAACTCCACGCTTTTCTCAATCAATGGCATCATCCATGGCTACAACTCTCACTTCCTCAGATAAACTTCACTGAAACACTTCTCCCTGAGTCTTCCTTTCATGGGATTCCAATAAAACCACTTTCTTTTTATTTCAAAGCAAAGTCTTCCCCATGCAATGCATCAGTTTCTATGACTGCAACACCAGCCTCATCATCTCTACCGTATGATCTGAATGATTTCAGGTTTGATCTCATCAAGGAGTCCATCGTGTCACGTGAGATGACACGCAGGTACATGATGGACATGATCAACCATGCTGACACTGATGTGGTGGTGGTTGATGCTGGCTCCGCAGGGCTCTCTTGTGCCTATGAGCTTAAGCAAGAACCCATCCGTACAGGTTGCCACTGTTGAACAATCTGTCAGCCCTGGAGGTGGTGTCGGGCTTGGTGGACAGCTCTTCTCTGCCATGGTAATGTGAAAAATACCAGTCAAATTATAGGATCTGGTTTATGAATTTTCTTTTGGTACACGATTTATTCAAAAATTCTATGTTCATTCAGGTAGTGCGCAAACCAGCTCATCGTTTCCTTGATGAACTTGGCATCGAATATGATGAACAAGACGACTATGTAGTGATCAAGCATGCAGCTCTCTTCACATGCACCATCATGAGCAAGCTTCTAGCTCGCCCCAATGCGAAGCTGTTCAATGCAGTAGCTGCAGAGGACTTGATAGTGAAAGAAGGAAAAGTTGGTGGAGTTGCGACAAATTGGGCCTTGGTATCAATGAACCATGACACACAATTCTGCATGGACACTAATGTGATGGAGGCCAAGGTGGTAGTAAGCTCTTGTGGTCATGATGGACTATTTGGAGCCACTGGGATCAAGAGGTTGAAGAGCATTGGGATGATTGATAGTGTTCCAGGCGTGAAAGCACTGGATATGAATGCAGCTGAGGATGCTATTGTGAGACTGACTAGGGAAATTGTGCCTGGGATGATTGTTACCGGAATGGAAGTTGCAGAGGTTGATGGATCTCCAAGAATGGTAATTTTCACTTAACATAATCATTATTGTTGTTGTTGGATTTATACTCTGAGCAAAATCTACCTACTATCAACATATTTATATTGCTTTTGCCATTGCAGGGACCAACATTTGGAGCAATGATGATATCAGGGCAAAAGGCAGCCCATCTTGCTCTGAAATCATTGGGATTGCCTAATGCCCTTGATGGTACATTTGTGGGAAGCATTCATCCAGAGCTGATCTTGGCTGCTGCAGATTCTGCTGAGACTGCTGATGCTTTAGTTGCAATGGTAGTTGCCAATTGCTATGGAGATGAGGAATTCGAATTGGAATAATAGTCATTGGTAGGAACGAAGTGGTTTGTTTTAGGATCGTTGATGTGATTATGTGGTGAGGTTTGTCAATAATGAGGGTGCGCCTGGAGCTTGATAGCATAAACTTTGCCTTTAGTTCTTCTTGTTCTTCTTGCCTTTAATGAGTCCTGCTTTCTCTCCTCTTTGCAAGTTCCCTAACCATTGACCAACTCTCCCCCATTATGTCACACCAGTGCTTAAACATGGCAAGTCGAAGCATGACACGAATAAACAAAAAAAAAAATTGCATGTCTTGTTTTCTGTATCGACACGAATTGTGACAAATAATTTTCATGTAAAACCTGATACGAATACACAAATTGTTAGTATTGTACACGAAATACTCAAATTGACAGTGCTGCAATAATACTTGGAAGTGATCAGAAAATTATGCTGCAGGACATTGTTTTCCATCTGAACTTGTGAAAACATTGAAACGATTCTAAAACTCTTAAAAAAAACAAACCTCAGGAAACATGAGGTTTTAACAAATTCTTCAAGCACTAATTTATTTTTTTATATATATATAAAAGAGGCCGCAGTCTGCAATAACAGCGGTAAGTGCTGGTATTTGATATCCAAACTTGTCGAACATCATCCGGATGGTTGCATGGCTACCTTTGGTTACCTGGAGTTTTAAATTTGATTTCATCACAAAACAAACATTCAGTTAAAAATGGTACCATTTTCATTACGATTCCACAAACAAGAATCCAAACCTGTCTTATCTGTCTGAGAAACCAAACTTTTGCAACTTCAAATCATTTGCTAACTCAAAATTTAACTAATCCAAACATTGGCCAACCCCAAAAACGACTTAGTTCATCAACCAAACACTAAAAATAGCAATGTTAGAAAATTTTTTTCTTTTACTACAAGAATAAAACCCCACTGTTTTGCCGTGTCCCAACCAGCCTCAGAAACTAGAGGAAGAGAATTTAGCTTGACTCAGTCTCCCATTTTATTTCCCCTTATAACCCTTTCATCTCTGAACTTCATAGGGGTTCACTCGGAACTCCCTCCCTCTCTCCCCTTGCCGCGTCGTCGCCGCCGCGGCAAACCCCCCTTTGTTTTCCTCTGCCTTCATTCATCAACGAACAAAAAAAAAAAAAAGATAAAAAGGGTTAAAAAGAAAAGGAAAAAACAAAAACAGGCGTGAAAATGCCTTGGATGACACTATTATATGTTGCATTTCTCTTTATCCCTTTAAGAATTCAGCTTTGTTATGGCGATCTTGCGGATGACTATAGTGATGATGAGCCAGCCCCGGCGCCGCCGCCGGGGCAAGACAATTGTAATGGTGTATTCTTGAGCTACGCTTTCACGTCAAGGTCTAAAGAATATCCTCACGTAAAGAACGTTACAGCTCAATCCTGGGCATTTAACTCCATTGCCACAATAGTCAATTCTGGGACGGAGGAGGTAAAGGGATGGAAGATGTTTGTAGGGTTTCAGCATAAAGAGATATTGGTGTCGGCAAGCAGCGCCATCATTGTAGACGGTAGCGGAGATTTTCCAGTGGCGGTTGGGAATGGAACAACCTTAGCAGGGTACCCCATGACAGACCTCAAGACCTCCATCGATACTGCTGGGGATTATAACCAGATTGCGGTGCAGGTTCAGTTCGCCGGTACGATGTTCGGGATGAAAGAGAAGGCGATTCCGATGCCGAAGACGATTAGGCTGGCAAACGATGGATGGAATTGCCCTAAGCCTACTAAAGATCGTAAGTGGTTTTTTCTTGTTTGATTTTTAGGTTCTGTTTCTTTCATGTTATTGCATGAGAGCGCATGATACACGCTATACGAGTATAACACGATACGGACACTGAGAATTTTTAATAAATGAAGATACAGATACGGTATGATATGATATTAAAAAAATATTTTTTATATATTGTAATCTTCAGTTAAAAATATATAATAAATGGTAAGTTGATTTTTAAAAGATATTTATTTTTGTGAAAAAAAAAAAACGGATGATAAACATAGTGATAAAAGAACATATGATATCATTATTTATAAAAGAATTGTCTTTTTTTTTTTCTCATATTTATCCGAGTTTCACACATATTTTAAGATATCGTAAGTATCAAAGTGTCGAACACAAATATGATATGAGTACGTGAGATGCAAAAATGTTCATGCCTCATAGTTCACTGCATAATCATTATTGCATTCAGGATTTTACTCTTGGAATACTCTACTGAAAATATGTTTTGCATTCCCTACATTGCTATAATGCATTCAGAATTATACCCTCAAAATACTCTCACAAAAATGAACTCTAATTGATCTGAACTCCTTCATTTTAGATTATATGTGTCTATGATAAAAGTTAATTAAAATCAATGGAAAATTCCATGGTATATGGGACAGCTCCATGCACCTATTCCATGTGAATGCAAGCCTTTGTTTAAACATTTTCTTGGGAAAAATTGAACCAAGCATATGAACTTTGGAGTCACCACCAAACTAAAATTCATTGGATTATGGTTTTTTTTTTTTTTTACAGCTACCTACATGCATGTATGTTGCAAAAAGAATCCCAAATTCAAGGCCAAGTCTCCCAAAGGCAAGTACTTGCCTAAGCAATATGGAGACCTCAACTTCATGTATGATGTTCTTAAAGCATATGAAGGTAGCTATGAGGCCCAAGTCACCATGGACAACAACAACCCCTTAGGCCGCCTTGATCATTGGAACTTGACTTGGGAATGGATAAGAGGAGAGTTCATTTACTCCATGAAAGGAGCTTACACTCACAGGATCGATTACTCTGATTGTATTTATGGCTTGGCTGGCCAATTCCTCTCAGGCTTGGATTTCACTCAAGTCATGAATTGCCAAAAAAAGCCTGTGATTGCTGATTTGCCGGCGGATAGAGCAAACGATACCAAGATTGGAAAAATACCTTATTGTTGCAGAAATGGGACTCTCTTGCCACCATTGATGGATGAAAGCAAAGCAAGATCAATTTTCCAATTAAGGGTCTATAAATTGCCCCCTGATACAGCCAAAACTGTTTTGTATCCTCCACAAAGATGGAATATTACTGGGTTACTCAATCCTCAGTACAAATGTAGTGCTCCAATTAGAGTAGATCCAACAGAATTTCCTGACCCAAGTGGGCTTCAGGCTACAACAAGTGCTATTGCAAGTTGGCAAGTTGTTTGCAACATTACCAAGCCAGAAAAGAAGAAAACTAAGTGCTGTGTTTCATTCTCAGCTTACTACAATGATTCCGCCATCCCATGCAGCACCTGTGCTTGTGGCTGTGACGATATTGATACAGATACTTGCAATCCCAATGGGCGTTCAATGCTTCTACCTGCAGATGCTCTACTTGTTCCTTTTGAAAACAGGACAGCAAAAGCCAAAGCCTTTGCCCATCTCAAGCACAGGACTGTTCCGAAAAAGTTGCCTTGCCCGGACAATTGTGGAGTTAGTATAAATTGGCATCTGAACTCTGATTACAAGACGGGATGGACAGCTCGGATCACCCTGTTTAATTGGGGAGATACTCCATTTGAGGACTGGTTCACTGCTGTTGAAATGAAAGAGGCTTTCCCTGGTTATGAAAATGTCTATTCGTTTAACGGAACAAAGCTGAAATCAGTTAAGAACGCCATTTTCTTCCAGGGTTTGCCAGGTTTGAATTACTTGGTGGCAGAGACAAATGGGACTAAACCAGATGATCCGAGAATTCCTGGAAAGCAACAATCTGTTATTTCATTCACAAAGAAACAAACACCAAGAATAAACGTTCGACTTGGCGATGGATTTCCTTCGAAGGTGTTCTTCAATGGCGAAGAATGTGCACTTCCTGATGGTTTTCCTCGGAGTGCAGGGCACAGCTCTCGAGTTTCCTTCACGGCTGTTATCTTCATAGCTATCATGACTTCCTTGCTGATGACAGACCGTCTCCATTGATGACCATTGGGGTTTTTTTTTTTTTCACCTGTAGTGTATTAGCTCTGGTAAGATTTTTCTTTTACGCTGCTATGATTTAACTTTACATTTTGAACAACCCCATCAATCATGATGAACTCTTATACCTAGAATATGATTTGATTTGTTGCTGATGGCCGACATGGGTATGTGGATAGAGGATGGAGAGCAATGCACAACTACAAATTGAAGCCTTGTTCTGCTATAAATTTGATCATCAGGAAGGGCAGACGAGAAGATTATAACAATTGTAAAAAGAAAATTTTATGATAATTATTTATTGCCTGACAAGGAATTCCTATGTAGTATTTTGGACAACCATTTTTTTGCTTTCTTGTACATGTATTTTGCTGCAAGAGAGTCATAGGCTTTAGGTTTCAGAATTTTATAAAAGGACAAATTAGGACCACCATCTGGTCTTGAAACAGTTTTCTAAGAATTTCTTTTGTTTTAGAGTCTGATTGGATTTCACTGCACCTCTCTCCTGGTTACCCTCCAATCACAGACAGGACAGGAGGGAAACGGATCCAGTGAACAGTTGGATCCTACGATTAGGATTTATTTGGATGGGTAGTGAAAGTGGTTATAGTGATATTAAAAATAGTGGTAATCATAAGATTAATTATTATAGTGACAAAATTAAATATGATGATATTAAAATTAAAGATAAAATATATACTTAAATGCAAACATAATTATAATGGTGAGATAAAGTGTGATGAAAGAAAAAATAATCATTATAAACATTAGATTAAAGTGTAAAATGAATTTTATAATATATTTGGTATTTATAAAGTTAACAATTAATTGAAATTTAATATTATTATTTTTATATCAAAATAATAATTATTTTTAATTTAAAATAAAGTTTAAAAAATTAAAGAATGAACAAAATAATAAAAAAAATATTAAAGCAAGGTTTTTTTATGGAAAATGGGGCTGTGGTGAGAATGAAAACTCTAACCGAACCCCTTTCTTTCCAGTGAAATTTTGAGGCAGGATGGAATTTTTTTTTTTTTCAATTACACTGATAATATGGTATCACTCTTAATGAAAAAAAATAAAAAAAATCTTATGTTATCATTGCATTTGCATCTAAATATAAATTGTTTTCATTAATTTTAATCTTATTGTTACAGTATGTAATTTCATTTAATTTTATCACCATTATTATTTTTAATCTCATTATCCATTCAAATGAACTGAACAATCCCATTGAAGGGGTAATGATTAAGTGAGGAAGTTCATTGATGCCCACATAAAGGGAATGATGATATATTCACAGTTAGATGACCTTTATAGTGACCATGGTGACTTTGGACTATCAAGGCAAATTCTGCTTAGAATGATCAGAATTTGTTAGTTTTTGCTATTTCCACTGCTATAAATGAGATTCATCAGGTTGCTTTCTACAAAAATCAAATGCTTTGTGCATTCAAGATGCATTCAAGATTTTATCCTTTGAATGCTTTCTACAAAAATCAAATGCTTCTCACAAAAATCTGGTTGCTGTTTCTCATGAACAGGCTATGAAGAATATATGCATTAGCAGCTGATTTTCTTTGTATTTCATTGAAATTTGAATGATTATGAAAAACAAGACACGTTAATACAACAATGGATTCGTATAAAGATCAGTAAACAATGTTTTCGTATACAAACAGTGTGGAAGATTGAAATTAGATACAGCAATGGATTCTATAGCAACATTTGATGGTTGGAGCAACTATAGAATTCTAACCACTATGCCAGGATTCTTCTGGGTATATATATTATTATCTTCTTCCAAATCAAGTCGTGTAATGCAGAAAAAAAATACTCTCACTATTTCTTGACTGCATTGAAAACGTCATCCGGTACACCTTATGCTATGTCTTCTTGGCCTGTGATCACAACATGGAATGAAATAGTTTTGATTTCGAGGAGTTACTGGCAGAGGAATACCTCATCGAAGAAACTTTTGAAATAATGATAGGCACAAATGAATCATCTATATGCCATGCTGCTGTTTTTTTTGCATTTTACACAATTAAAGAATTTCAAAGCCACATCAAGATTTAAAAGGATTCAAAGAGATAGCAGTACCTTTTTTAAGTATTTCTTATGAAGTTTCATTGCTTCACTGCAAGCTTTCTTGGCATCCAAATTTCCAGTTATGTCATTTAGAATCTGATAAAGTATAAACAGGTAAAGTGTTAAGGCAGCATAATATAGCTTGATCGGCGACCAAACCATCCAAAAATGTTTCAGGGTTTTGCAAGGTGATAATTGCGTGTACAATTGTTTCAGCAATGCATAATAGGCTGTTCGAAGTAAATTGTTGATTAACTTATATGTTCATTTATATGCAGTAAAAGCTACAAAAATGTAAGCATACCTTAACTACATCATCCAGGCCCCGAGCTTCTTGCAGTAGCATTGAGCTCTTATCTTTTAAGACACTGGCAACAAGGAAAACAGAAATGGGAAGCGGGGCGTCAGAGCTTTTAATTTTCATATTTTCTCTCTCATACTTCCCGCACTGACGTATTGATTTTGCTTTTGCTTTAGCATCCTCAGCCTTCTCAATATTTGATCCGGGTTCTTCATATAGAGAGAACAAGTCAGGATCATATTCCAGAGCCCACATCATCTGTAGAAAGTTTGGATAACCAGACAAAGCAACTTTATGAGTAAAATTCAAGCTAAGCATTCCAGAACATAGAGGCACGGATTCCACATAAACAATGGAATTAATTCATGTTAGTGCTCCACATAACAAAACCAAACATTTATAGTTATGGTAGCCGACAAGTAATTACGAATTGTAAAACATCATCAAGTTGAAAATGATTTTCTTTCAATGTCACGGGATGCATCACATCGGACACACTCCGACAAACAGCTTCAAAACAAATTAACAAACACATTTTGATTTCAAAGAACAAGTGGAAGTTTCTCCAGTGTAAAAATGAGATATTTCATAGGACTTGATCTCTTTATTCTTTAGCTTTATTCCTCTAAAGCCAGTCACATTCCAGGTTAAAGAACTCAGTTTGGGTTCTATAAACGAACAGTTCTATAAAATCATTGGAATCGGAAATAATCACCGTTGTTATGGATTTGTGTATTATTTCCAAGGAATGATGTCAAGTAATTCACAAAGCATTTTAGCATACGTATCGAATTCAATAAAATCAGTCAAAGGACTAGAAAGTGTTGAACATACCTCCCATAAATACAATGAATCACAGAATGAGAACTCTCGACGAAACAAGACCATTAGCATTCGAAAAGCAAAGAGATAGTCACCTCCACCAAGTGTCTCTGTAAACCAATAATATAAGACAAAAATAAGAATCTACTAACAAGATGTGCAAAGCACAATGCAAACTACTAGAGAATGAAAAGATATAAATTTCATCTCATACCTAAGTGCTGATGAAGTTTTGGATCAATAACTTGAGTTACTGCAGCCAAATTACTAAGTTGTGTCTCTACCCCTACAGAACCCTCAGTGCATCTGAAATTTCCTCGCTTTAAGATTTAAAATAGGAACACATATCATAAGAAACTAGTAATAAAACTGAAAGCAAGAAAATCCTAAAAAATAAATGAGTATGGACAGACAGATTTCAATATATATAGTAAAATCTGCCATGGTGCACAGACAGATTTCAATCCACACGCATATATATATATATATATGGCTTTAGGGTCTAGCATTTACGGTCTAGGGTCTAGGGAAAAAGAAAATGGAAAAAAAAGAAAGTAAAGGTACCAATCTGCGCATCAGACGCTCAAAGCACCAAAATGCATCAGCTTCATCTTCAAGAAGCATAATCATGGGGGAGCATAGATCACTCATTCCTGCTCAACATTGTAATTGAATTATTATTCCCTCTGTTATAAAGAGAGGTAGAATGGATGCAGATTACAATAGGATAGATATAACCCGTTAACTATCTAAAAGCCCCCTAACCATGTTGTTCTGCAAGTCAACATAACTTTAAAGTTGATAAATTTTCTTCCTTACTTTTAGATATATGTTGTTGACAAGGGAATATTAATAATAAAAGATGAATCTGATGAATAAATGACCCAGTTTGAAGCACTAACAAAATCTATAAGTGATAACTAAATTTAAAGGCTTTTGTAATGGTTTTAAACTTGTAAGCCTATAAGCCTATAAGCCTATATTTATATTCTGTCACCAGAATGGCATTTTAAGGTATAAATATATCCAAGGTTTACTTGATTGAGGCGGTCAACAATCCAGTAACTATAATTGTCAGTTTAGAAAGAAAACTTCATGTAATTATTCACCTTGACAATAGCCAACATCTGTATCTATCCAGGCATAAACAGAGAGAATATCCCAAAGTTTTGACAGATTCTCTTGCTTCTCATAGAATACTAAAGTCCTGTCGGTGCGAATAACATCAAGACCTGACAGAAACATAAATACAAGGAATGTGATCATGACTAAGAGAAGAATGCAACACATCAAAGAGAGACATGCGTTTGAAATAGAAAAGAACAAACAACCTATTTGATGTAACGTAAGCATCCACTGGATTACTTTCTTGTCCAAAGGACCATGACTGGTTAGCTGCTTCACCATTTCTGTACTGTCAGCATTTAGACCTGAATGATTCATTACATATTAATACCTGGTTTGTTTCACTTTCACCAAGATATTATTTTAAACAGGTAAGTGCAGTAACTTTCCTGGATTTGTCTCTAAAAGTACTAAAGGGTCTTGAATGGGCTGACCATCTTCGGTGATTACAGGTGCTGTAATAAATTTACCACTTCCAACAACAGGAAAGATTTCACGACATTCATTCTTCCATCTAGCATATTGCACCCTGAGATATAGAAGTGACAAAACAACACTCAGAAAATGATCCCCTGATGAGGAAGGTCCAGCAGAGAACTCATCTCTCAAAGATTCAGTAGCCCGAAAGTACCAAAATATGAAACAGGAGAAATGGTCTACCTTCGGTGCTCCCGTATCTGCTCCCTTTCATCAAATGTGCTCTTAGGATCATAACAGCCAAGTAGAAACTCCCAAACTTCTCCTCTAATTGATGGATGGATCCCCTATGTTTGTAAAAAAAAAATAATGCCAATAGATAGAGACCAAAACAAATAAGCATAAATACGTACATACATTTAAACACTCATAAACATAGCCTTGCACTACTTCATATATGCATATGCTCTTCAACATATAAGATTTAGAGATAACACATGTCAGAATATCCAGCCAAGTTGCATTGCAGTATATATATCTTGGTGATGCTGCTATCCAGCATGATTGATATAACAATTAAATAGAACACATATTGATGCATTTGTTTTTGTTCTTTTGCATTCATAACCTGTCCTTTCTCTTTCATGGATATATTTTCACATGTTCTAAATCATTTAAAAGCCCAATTGTAGCAGGCTCGGCATTATGATATCTGGATCAATTCTCACCAAATGCCTAAAAAATCAAAAGGAAAAACAATCTACATTTGTATTCTTGTTTTGCTGACTAATACATTGCAATAAGACCTGCTGAAAAACTAAGTTGTAGGTGAACACCATGCTAGTTACAATGAACACCATGTATATGAACAATGCAGCCAAATCATCCATGTAGCTTTCAAGCCTCATATATAAGGATGGCCATGATTTTGAATGAATTACTCTGGAAACTTAAATATAAATATATATATAGCATTATTACACTTTTGTATGAATCAATTTAAATCTACTACCAAGAAAAAAAGAGTCCTTTTGAACCTGAATATGCACTTACCCCACGCTGGATTCGATATAGAGTTTTGCCTAAATCCAAATGCCCATCTGGAGAAAATGCAGCTTGCCATTTTCTTACACTTAGAGTTTTACCAGGCTGCATAAGCAAATTAAAAAGAAAGCATCTTTATTGAATCACAGCACCATTTTTTTAACAATTACTGCAAAACTCAGCTTCATTTACATAATCAACAAAGATAGAAAGAAAGCATATTGTTTAAACAGGAAGCAGAAATTTTGGCCGTGAAAAACATTGATTAGACAATGTTCAAGATCAAATCTCAAAATCATTCAATGAAATCCAAATGTACAGCCCTCTATCGGATAAATTCACTTGAGCTAAAATTCAATCAAATTAGAACCAATAATAAAGCAAAAAAGGAAAGGCTTTTTCCTGTAAATCCAATCCAATATATAAGCATTAATGTATGCATTATCTAATGAATCCCATGACATAAAATATGGTTCATTTCCAACATTTTCTTAAAAAGTGATCCAAATTTTCTTTTTTTTTTTCAATTAATTAAAACAAACCTTGATCTTAAACTTGGTTATTGGCACATCAGTGCATTCAGGCCGGACCTCATAATAAGAATCAGCAGGTTCTGCTGGAGCCCCCCACATTTACCAAGAAAAGAAAAACAAAAGCTTTCTTTTTTTTTTTCCTTTTTGCTCAAAAAAGAAAGGGTTTTCTTTCTTTCTATTCAGCAGCACTGCCAAAAGCTGGAACCTTTGAATAGAAGAAGAAATACCCACTAAGGAAAAATCAAGGAAAATGCAGGGGAAGGTTCAGAAATGGAGGGCCCAGCCAAGTCAAGTTCTTCAAAGAACAAATAGAAGGAGAAAAGGATGGTATATTCTTCTTGGGTTTTTTTCTTTTAGTCTTTTTTACAAAAATAACGCAAAAGAAGTCCTTTTTCTTTGGTTAATTATGGGTTTATTTTGTGGGTGGTGCTGGTGGTAGCCATGGTTGCCATCTCACAATCACAAGGACATGAAAAGAAAAACATTTACCGTTTTATGCGTTAATTTTAACCGTCTTGCCTCTTATTTCTCTGTCTTTGTCTAAATTTAACTGCCACTTTTTCATTTTTTATGTACTAAATTAAATCCTAGAAAAAAAAAAAACCCCTCTAAATCCTACTAAAATTTTAAGCTTTTTTATGTTTGCTTGTTGAATTTTACTTTTCTATCATTTGACCTTTTCTCTGGATAACAATTTTCCTGCTTTTATCTACCTCATTTGTCTCTCAATTTAATATTTTTTTTAAGGTACACAGAATTAGGGATATAATCGAGTCGAGTCGAGTCGAATAGTGAAAAGTTCGAGCTCGACTCACAATTTGAGGTTTGATATTCGGTTCGAGCTTGATCGAATTTTATTTTTCAAGCTCGAACTCGATTCGTGATCGAATTCGAGCTACTCGAGCTCGCTCAATTAAGCTCGATTAATATATAAAAATAAGCTCGATTCATATACTAGACAAGAGTTCGATTATTCATGCTCGAACTCGAACTCAGATTCGAAATATTTTATTAATTAAAATAATAAAAATATATTTAAATATAAAAACTCGATTAAGCTCGCGAACTATTCGAGTGAATATAAGAATACTCGAATTTGGCTCGATCGATAAGTCGAGTTATTCGAGCTCGAGCTCGACTCGACAATAATCGAACCGAATTTGAGTTTTTTTCGAATCGAACCCGATTAACTTGCAAGTACTAATGTATCATTTACACTCCTACACATGAGTCTTTTTTTTTTTTCAGAAATTCTGTAGAATTAATGAAGCCATCAAACCGGACCTTAAATTAGAAATGTCAATTTTATTTATGCAAAATGAAATTTTCAAATTTTTATCCTAATAAGGAAAAGTATTACATTAGTATAATTTTAAATTTTTTTTTAAGTATGAAGATAAAAATAAATAATATAACATTCATTTCGTATTCGTACTTATATTTTATATATATATTATATTTAATAAATAAATTTTTTATTAAATAATATAAATTATTATGTTAAGTTAATTAAAAGTAATATATTTTTATTTAAAATATATTAATATTTTAATAAAAAATTATATAGATATAGAAGATAAAAATTAAAAAACAAAATTTGTATTTTTTTAAAAAATTATAAGTACAAAAATTATTTATATCTATTGAATATCCTCGAGAATGAAAATGTAATGCTTCCAATTACACGTATTAAAAAAAATATATGAATAATGAATAATATATATATAGAGATCTAAATTCAAATTTGTAAAATATTTTTTGTATGATAAAATCATAAAATTTTTTGGTCAAAGCAAATAATAACTCATAAATTATGTACGAATTTTTACAAATGATATCGTGAATGTCACTAAATACTATATGGTAGGACCGTCAGAGTCATTAAGTATTACATATCGGAGAATTACATCTAAAATTCTAATATTTAGTGTGATCTTACTCTTATGGTTAGACTCTACTTAAGAGAGACATCAAGTTTTAAAGATGAAGAGATTGTAATGTTCTTAATCTCACGTATTAAAAAAATGTGTAAATAAAAAATAATATATATGTAAAGATCTAAATTTAAATTTGTAAAGTATCTTTTATGAGATAAAATCGTAAAATTTTCGAATTAAAACAAATAATACTCATAAATTAAATACGAATTTTACAAAAAAATATGAATAAATTTAAAATATTTATTAAATATAAATATAAAAATAAATATAATATAAAAATTCGAATACTCTTCTAATCTTTTACTATACCCGTCGACATCCTTACCTTAAATAAATAGAAAACATGACATGAACTAATCACTTACACAGTTATTTCCTTGTCACCTCTCTTTTGATTTCTGCAACAAAATCAGATGTAAAGACAAAAAAAAAAAAAAAAGGCAAATGAAATTCAACAAAAACAATACTTAGTTTGAACAGATTTAAGATGTGCATGCCTGTCTCTATCTCAAGAATTCTTTTTGTTTTTTTTTTTTTTTTATCAAATTGTGTCTCTTTTCTGATTCTAAGGCTTCAGGATGGTAAAAAAATCAGGAATAACTTGAAGAAGAGGGAAATTCAATTCCAAACCCAATGCTTCTTCAATACATTCTTCAAGCAAATTATTAGAATGAACAATTCTTGGAAAACAATTCTTTGGGATGTGCATACAAACTCCATTACATAAATAAGATATCAATGGTTTAACTTAAATTCAACTATTTTAATTATGATATGATACAAAAAATGATAAAAAAAATGTAAAAGCAATATGTTTCAAAATTTTAATAAAAATTAAGAGTAATAACGGTTCGGATCAAATCGTATTTGATTTAATTTTTTCGAATATTGCATAATATTATAAATTTTTTAAATTCAAATCAACTTTTTATATGATTCAATTCGATCTGGTTTTTGAAATTTCTTTTTTCATATATGATTTTAGTATAAAATTTTAATATATATAAAAAAATTTTGATATAAATTATTATTTTTATTTTATAAAAATTTAAAATATATATATAGATTAATAAAAAATATAATTCTGTTCGATTCGATGTTTTTTTATTTTTTACCTCCCGATTCAAATTTAATATATACATTTAATATTCAAATTTGTTCCGAACGAAATAAGAAAAAAATCAAACAATTTTAAATCGATTTTGTAGATTTTTTAATTATTTTCTCACCCCTAACAAAACTCCTATAAAGTTTGATAAAAATAAAAATATATATTTTGTATTTGATATATCAATACAAATTAAAAGCACGATCATTTTTGTAATTTACACGTAATATATAGACAAAGATACTTAATTATAAATATAAAAAATATTTTTTATTTTCATTTTTTAGAAAATAATTTTTAGTTTCTATTTTTTGTTTTCTAAAAAATATATTTGATAAATGAAAATAAAAATTGTTTTCTAAAATGTAAAATAAGGAAATAAATAACATATTCAATAATATTATTATTAATGTCATTTAATTATAAATATAATATATATATATTAATTAATGATATTAAATAGTATTTGAATATGATAACTTGCAAAATTTGAGGAAAAAAGTCATGTACATCTTTTATTTTCAAAATTGAAAACTTTTTTTTTATATTTCAACTTATTTTTATTTTTATTTTTTACAAACGTTGTTTTCATTTTTAATTACCAAACACGTTTTCAATCATATTTTTTATTTTTAAAAAAAATCAAAATAAAAAAATAGCTCTAATTTCTAAAACCAAACATTAACTAAAATTGCAATGTATTGGTTTAGTGCAAAGTACATGACTATCCTTGTTTATGGTCAAGCAAAGCATAAACCCACAATAAAGCAATTAACAGAAAAGATTCAAATGCTCTTATGAACTATAATAAGGTGAACATTTATGCTTTGCGCCATAAGCCAAGAAATCCAAAGAAAGAAGAGAATATGGGAAAGAACCAAAAGCTTCTCTGCCACAGTCTGTAAAGTTTTCATTCAAGTTGGCCTACAAAAACCTTGGTCCTGGCATCCATTGTTGCCAACCCTTTTGTATCACCCAAGTTTCAATTCAGCTTTCAGCTTTCAGTTTTTTTTTTTTTTTTTTCAATGGCAAACTCCATTTTCAGATCAGATTATCAAAGCAAAGCTTTCCATGTATTAGGGCTCTTTTGTTTCATGCTGCTGATGATTCAGGAGGTTTATGCAAGAGAATTCACAGTGAACTGGGGTCTTCACAATGGCAACAATGCTGAAACTTACAACCAGTGGGCAGAAAAAAACAGATTTCAGATTGGAGACTCCCTTTGTAAGTTGTTGGTACATTAACGGTATATCAAATACAAATCTATAAAATTTTAATGCAAATAACCTAATCATAATCGCTATAGCCTATAAGTTTTCCAAAATGTGTAGTCCGAATATTATTATTTTTTTTACCAAAAAAATCGTAGTATAGGGATAAAAACAAATGGTCGCAGGGATTTGAATCCCAAACCCGTTGTATGCCATTTGTCAAGGATGGCTCTGCATTAGACTTAACAATTCATGTATTTATGTCGTGTAAAATATTAAAATTCGTATATTCGTATTATGTTTTATACAAAAATATGTCACAATTCATATCAGCATAAAAATATAGAATATGTTTTTTTATTTTATTAAACTTATATAAAATTATTGTTAAAATTTTAAATTGTCACATTTATGTTTTATATTCGTATCGTATCATTATGTCATAATTTAGATAATCAAATTTACTCTACATGAATCACCTTAGATAAGCTTCGAATTTAAATCCGAATATTATTTCATGTTCATAGAAACTAATCAAATACATAAAAAGCTAGATAGAGACTATATTCCTTGTAAACTTAACTTTGTTTTCATTCAATTTTTGTGTGTGACATGCTGTAGTGTTCATCTACACACCAAACAAAGATTCAGTGCTTCATGTAACAATGGAGGACTACAACAACTGCAGAGTAGAAGAACCAATCTCAAACTACACAGATGGACACAGTGTTTTCACATTGAGCCATTCAGGGCCTTTCTACTTCATCAGTGGAAAGCAAGAGAACTGTCAAAAGAATGAGAAGTTGGTGGTTGTTGTCTTGGCTGATAGAAGCAACCGTTCTTCAAGCATCGCAGAAACCAACCCTAATTCATCAAATACAGTCTCTTCAGTCTTCATTGGTGTGGCTGCTTCTGCTGCAGCATTTGTTGCTTCAACTTTTCTTTTAGGGTTTTAAAGGGAAGATTTCCATCATGAATTGGAATTCTTCCCTTTTCCTTCATTTTTTTTCAATTTTTTTGAACATATTTCGTCCTTTGATTCCCCTCGGCCTGCGTTTAATCAGTTGTCCAAAATTAAGGAATGAGCTGTTTGTTGTATAGCATTTGGTGTGCTTGTTTGTAAACAGAGAAATAAATCGATTTTATAAGGTATGGATACGAATTTCTTTTGTATCTATCACTAGATCTAACAATTCTCATATTCATATTTATTTTAAATAAAAAACATATAAAACACAAAAATTATTATATCATTATTCGTATCAACACGTCAAATATGAAACATTTTTTTTATTTTTATCAAACTCATTTACGACTTTTACTAAAATTTCAAATTGTCATTTTCATGTTTTATTTTTTTTTACTAATTTTCGTATTGTAAATTAATGTTGTAAAAGAATGTCTCCATTTTGCATAAATGAGAAAGAAGATACAAGTTCTTGGATTGAAAAAGTGCAAGACTAAACTGAAATCATTTCCTACCATAGCAACTAGAATGGGAAATAAAATTCTAGGGCTTCATTTTACATGAAAAAGAGCTACATTTCGACTATGTTTTCTTAAAATAATAGTGACCAAATAGAATCCTTTTCAATTTTGTTTTCCTGTCTATCAAAAATTTTTGCCTAATTCTACTTTTTTCATCAGCCTAATTGTATTGTGAAAAATTGAATCCAAAATCCCAGCAACCTGCAATCGATGAACAAGATTTGCCGGTAAAGCATTTCTGTTTACTAAAAGATAAATTTGAAAGAAAAAGAAAAGGTTAGGGAACATATCACTTATAATTATTGCAATACAATTAACCAATCACAATTCAAAATTATGTATTGTTATCAAATTTTATATAAAACTCACAATTATAAGTGGTGGACCCATTCATAATTTCTTAACGTGATTGGATAATTGTAATATTGTAGTAAAAGTATTGTACATGAAATGCACCGGTTAAGAAGCATATCACCTACAATCATTGTAGTATAATGAACAAATCACAATTCCAGCATAATTAACAAATCACAATTCCGGATTCTATGGGATCCATCAAAGTTTCATATGGAACCCATACTTATAAGTGGTTGATCCCAAATAATTCTTCATTGTGATTGGATAATTGTAATATTGTAGTAAAAATAATTGTAAGTGAAATGCTCTTGGATTAGAGAGGGGTGGTAAGATTACTAACCGTGAAAACACCTCCAATTATAGCACAGACATTGGTAAGAAAGTGAGAAAACGATTTTGAGTTTTCTGTTATTAAAACCTGAGTACGAAATGAAAAGAAATTTGTTCGAATTAATGGTAAGAAAAAAAAGAATGCAAGGTATAACCGTCTCAAATATAATTAAATAGTTAGAAGAATAACCTGCATCGGAGATAACTCGAAATGAAATTTCACAACGGGTATGTATATGCTCTGTGACAGACTGCTATGCGAAGTGTACTCATATTCCTCGATTAATGTATGTGCACGAGAAGATCTTCTTGTAACCACCTCTGTTTTGACCACTTGAAGGTAATGTTCTATCTGAAAATGCAATTAAGAAAGGTGAAGCTCGTAAATTAAGAGTTTTAAACATTTCAAAAAACTAAACCAGCATTTAAGCAGATATAATATCTTATTACAAGGCATTCCCTTCTTTTTTTGGATACAATTATTCATGTGTTTGTAGCCGGAACTGAAATCTCGAATAAGGTGAAAATGAATACAGTGTTCACGAATAGTTTATAAATAGAATCGGTTTTTGTTCGTTTATTAAACTTAACAAATAATCACAAATAACAATTCATGGTTCGTTAATTAAACAAACAAATCACAAGCATAATAAAGTTCGCTTATACCCCTAATCTCAAACATGGTTTTCCTAACGTAGCAATTGCCATAATCTCTACTAGAGACCCTCACATTTAATTTTGTTAATTAGCACAGACTCCACACACTTCACCAATTATCAAATTATTTAATCGAGAATTTGTTAGGTAGATTTTATATCACAAAGAAATTCTTAGAACAGAATTATTCTTTATTGTCGACCAAGGTCTATGCATATCTTACTCGGTCACAGAAGTAAAAGCATCACCAATTGCTTTGAAAAAAAAAAAAAGGCATAGAGAAAACATTCAAGGTCAAACACCATGGGACTTGAAAAAGTAAAACAAGGAATTGAACAGAAAGGATCATATGAAAGAACAAACTTACAGTAACATTTGCATCTAAATCCCGGTGATTAATGAATGATCGACCATTCAACCTGTCATGGCTTCTACCAAGATAAGGTATTAATCGCTTCACATCAGTCAGTACCCGAGGTGAAATTGTTTTACCAAATGAAAGATGGTTTATGACATGGGACATGTTCATTTGAGAAGCATCAAAAGAATGGGCTCCTGAGTGAGCAGATACGATAAGGTTGCCTGGAACCTGCAAAGTGCAAGTCAAACTTAACACTTTAAGGTATAAAATGAAAAACAATTCTGAATTGGCCAACTTAGAGAACAAAGGGATGATATAACTAACATTTGCATGGCTCATTTAGCTGAAGGGTAAACATAAATGATTGAACAAACAAATTACAAGTAAAATAAGTCCACCAGTCAGAGTTTAATCTAGGATCGTATTTATCACCTTCTTTACACGCACATATCCTTCAACTCTACATCCTCCTGTCAAAGGTGCCGGTCTTTTTGTTGCATTGGATTTATCCTCTAAAGCCAGCCTCTGGTTCTCCACTGGAATAGGAGCAACTAATCCTTCCATCATCTGGAAGAAACAGACAATTGCATTAGATTGGGCATGCACCTTTATCTTATAAGATTTCACAAATGATCTATAAACACAAATGGCCAATTCAAAACTAATTTTAATTGTACCTTAACCAAGGATTCTGTATCCCGATCTCCATAATAAGATTCATGTTCATGGTGTCCATGGTCCTCCCTGAAACACATACAAGTCAGACAACAAGGTGAATCCACATTGCACAAATACAGAAGGTTTAGCAGCAATAAATAGCCTAGAAGAAAGTAATAATCCTCCAGTTTATGGTCAAAGGAAAGTGGAAGGTTGCAAATATGCCTGAAAACATAGTACATATATGAGTTTCACATAATTTGTTGAGTAATGAACGACATAAAGAAAGACAATGTGAGGAAGTAGGGGGAAAGTATTAAGCCATTAACATAAGGGTTACCTCACATCACTGCCTTTACGAAAAATTCGAATGGACGGATACCCTTGAATGTGATGCCTGTATGAAAAAGACCACAGAACAAGTGACCACAATAGTAATTAATAACCAGAAAATAAAGAAGGAGAGAAAGAAAGAAAAAGATGCAACATTTCGAAAATAATTCTATATTAGAATCAAGAAAGCGTTGTTTAAATATATGAAGTGATAAATATTTAGATCTATCTGCAACGTCAAAGAGATCGAAATGTATCAATATGGTTAGTGGTCAAATACTGACATATAATCATATTCTCAAACAAGAAAGCACCAATTTACATATGATAAAACATGAAACAAAGAAATACCTCCTGCACAAGTCAACTTCTTCAGTGCAATCAACTTTTGCCATAAGAATACGCCCATCTGTTTCTGGATCATATCTGTAAAAAGCAAGGGTGCAAAATTCATTGCTAAATCAAGAAACTATTTACAAATTTATTTGATGGAAGAGAAATGATGTATGCTCAGACCTTTCTTTTATTATCTTGGCAGCTTTCTCCCATGATGGTTTCTGAAACCCAAAAGAAACATGGTGAGGATACTGACAAGTGAAGAAGCCACCCCAAGCTCTAAGTGGTAAAAAGGTACGGTTTAAGCTCCAATATAATCTTTAAACAGTTCAAAAAAGGAACAAGAACTAAACAATACAAAACACAAACTAAGGTCCTACTACAGAAAATACCAATCACAGAGCACATTAGAAGGTTATTAAAATGCTCACTTATCAAAAAAAAATTTTTTAATAGAGGGTTATTAAAATATAAACGAAGTACATAAAGTCACAAAATGAGTTAGTTAAAAAAGAAGATCTGGCAACTATATCAGTATAACATAAGCTATGTATAATAACAGCTTTACAGAGCTAGAGAGCTAGACAATAATGCTTTCAGCAAGAATCTTCCAAGACAAAGATCATTTATGCTAATAGTAGATTACCAGGCGAGTACTCCAGTAGCACCAAGGAGCATAAAAGTTAACAACCAAAATTGGATACCTACAAAAAACCATTTAAACAAGTAAATAGTGGTATCACCAAAATTGGCATTTAACAAAGAAAGCTCCATACTGGGAACATAATACACACAAAATTAAATCGCTTGCAAGTTTGAATTGATCCACTTACTCATGTGAAAGTCTGTCAAAACTAACACCATTTAATGGTACAGAACCCTCAACAGTTTGTTCATCAACTTCATCTTCATGCTTAATGAAATGAGGAACAGGACCAGAATGAAACTCAGCACCAGTGGGTCTTAAATGTTTATCTATAGAAAACTTTCGGATTGTTTTTGTTATATTCAACCTGTTCTGAAAACAGAAGACACAAATTTAGTCATATGGACCAAAATTTACATTGTAAAATGCCATCCAGGAAAAACATCCAGGCATCTTGAAGAATGGAGTGTGAAAAATTATTGACAGGCAAATGTTAACATAATATCCAGGCATAAAAAAGTGTGGTGTATTTCATTTTCTTTAGCATCAAAAATAGTATCAGATAAATGTCAAAAAAGATAGGCAACAAAGATATAGCCCATCTAAAATCTATGCCAGGCACTTGACGTGCATTGTTAAGCTCGCAGCTAGCAAAACACTTCAGAGCAAGGCAAGGACCATCTTCTTAAATGATTTAGCGCTAAACAAAAGCATAAGTTTTCTTTTTCAACAAAATTAAGCAGATGAAACACATCCGATGATAGAAACTTACAGTTCCCAAGACATCACTGACGTCAACAGATGCAAACTCACA